GACTTGATCCTCCTGAGGACATACGGCTCGAGAATGGCCTTTGCCTGTTCGATACGATCACGTTGATACATCGCTTGTTCGCTCGAATCCGAAACGCGGCCACCTTGCTGAAAAAATATCGAATTGCTTGGCACTTTGGCATTATCAGGGGGGGGGTTTGGTACGGTAGAATTGACTGATAAACGCGAGAATTTTAACAGCTTTTTAACAGAGTTAAACCTATTTTTAGCGCATAAACTATCCGAATACTTGACAAAATTATTTTTGGAACCAAAGCGTTTTTTATTAATACCGACGTTATTTTAAATAGAAAAACACCTAAGAAACTAAATTTTGGTCCAAAAACGATATTTTATATTTTTACCAAAAATTCCTAAATCTTTTACACTTAAAATAGTAAAAACAGCTTAAAAAACTTTATGCATTTTCGTCAGAATAATTGGATCCAAAAACCAAGTTCTCACCCCCGATAATGCAAAAGTGCAATTATTCCTGGTTTGAAAAACTAGGGGAAACCTAAAAAAAAATCGAAAAACCATGATACCTGTTTGAAATGGGCCAGCAATTCCTTCATATCATCGCAATATTTGTCAAAGATGTCCTTCATCACAAAATACATCAGTGAGATCAGTTCGATGAGATTGTTCTGTAGTGGGGTGCCCGTCAGAAGGATCTTTCGATTGCTCTAAAAAAATATGAAAGAAACTTCAAAAATCAATACCTGAATAGTGATCATCTGTTGGAAACGTTGCGAGCCACAATTCTTCAGCATATGGCCCTCATCGTAGATGACGTAGTTTATCTATTAACTTAATAATTAATAACGATTATTTCGATACCTTAAATTGTTTCTGAATCTTCCGGTCGTCGGGTTTTGTGGCCAAATTGTAGGTAGTCAGCAGGATATCCACGGGAGTCTGATTCCTTTTAACGGATACCCGCATTTGATAGCGCTCATCTTGGGTCCCGTAGTACGTCAATAACTAAAACCATGCTTTTGCTCGTGCTTTTGCAATATCGGGGGGGGGACAACTTTTCCTATATCCCATAAATGCCTAGCAATAAAAGTAAGGGTTTTAAGAGTGATTTTAGTAAATTTTAACAATATTTCAAGCGGAAAACTATAAAAACTTTGAAAATTTCCAAATTCCGTCGAAAAATCAATATTATTGCATTTTTTTCTCAAAATTGACAGTTTTTACGCTTAGGAATAGTAAAAAAAACAGTTTGGAAACACGTGCGCTACCTAGACAGAAAAATTGGATCCTAAGAAAAACGCCCCCCCCCCCCGATATTGCAAAAGAACCGGTATATTTCATCGAACCGGATAAAACCATACCTTCAGAGAAGGACACCATTTCTGAATCTCGGCCATCCAATTCTCAATTGTAGAAGACGGGACGATGATCATTTGAGTGCCCTTCACATTGTTCTCCTTCAACCACGCGCAGAAGGCAATGATTTGGATCGTTTTGCCGAGGCCCTAAAAGATAAATAAATCTAAAAATTACTGAAAAACCATTTCATCAGCCAAAATACAGCTCAGTTTCTTCTTGTGCATCATTATCAACCAGTTGAGACCCTCGCGCTGATAGCGATGCAGTTGGTAGCTAAACATAATGCAAAATTAGCAAAAACCAGGGTTGAAAAGCCGCTACGCGACTTTTCAACCCTGGCCCCGTCTGATCGCATGACATTCTTCATTTTGCATATTTCTCGCGGTTTTCGCTGACACAAAAATGAGAAAGATCGCTCTGTTCCCTTATATATGCATTCCGCCACTTCCGGCGTATGCTAATTGTTTCCTAACAAAGAGGGTTCTCGATTTTTCAACAAAAACTTAATTTTAACATTGAAAACCGCTAATTTTTGAAAATTTTATGAGTGTGCAGTCATCCCTAGGTCATTACGCACCTAATGACGTATCATACGTAGCCTAATACCCTTCCCTTCTTGAGATACTACTGGAACACGCTGACGGAAGTTCCATGCAAAGTGGCACACACACACACAAACACTATTTTTTTATATATAGTAGGATAAACTTAGAAAACTACTCTTTATTGAGAAGATTTGGCACCGTCACGTCATTCTGCACATTCTCGAAGTCTTTGGCCACCTAGAACAATGAAAATTGGAGAAAAAAGCTAAATTGGTTACATTGGTTGAATCAACATTGCAATAATCGAGGATACGCCGTAGTATTCCTCGCTTTCTCAGCTCTTCCAAGTATCCCTCGATCATCACACGACCGCCACGCTCTTTTCCGAGTTTTGACGTCTAAAAAGATAATGGATCTAGGGTACTGTCGCATTATCGGGGGAAGAGAATATTCTTTAGCTTTAGCCATCTTTCGACCAAAAATGGCGGATTTTCGATCAAAATTTGAAAATTTTTCAAATTCTTAGACAGCTGGCTACTTGCACTATATTAAACTTTACTAATAATACTATTAAAATGGTCAAAAACGCCTAATTTACGCTCAAAAATCACGTTTTCGAAGTTTTCAGACAGTTTTCGACTCTAATATAGTAAATCACACTAAAACGCTATTAAATCGCTTATTGTTACGTTTCTAGGCGTTTCTGGATTTATAGGTACCCCCCGATATCGCAAAAGGACCAAATTTATATCGACCGAAAACCGACCAATTGCTCAAAATCCTGGTATGGCTGATTGGCGATGAGCAGCTCGGACAGCTTCTTCGTGATCTTCGGCATTTCGGCCAGCTGTTCCTCTTTGAGCGAGTTGAAATACATCAGGCATTCTTCGTGCTCCCTTTTCACGCGTTTCTTTGTCGGTTTTCCTTCCTAAAACAAATAAAATAGCACGAAATTCGCTTTAAAAACCTCGGGAGCGCTGAATTCGTCCTCCGAAAACTCGTCGGCCTTTCGGTTGTCGTTCTCATCGTCGGAGAACGTTGGCGCCTCATCGGAGAACTCGTCGTCTAGGGCTTTTTTCTAAATTAAAAGTCAAATCCAAAAATGTGCAGATCTACCGCGTGTTTCTTCCTTTTCACAGCCTGATCGTGCTGCTGGCGTAGCGTTGTCGCCTTCTAAAAACGAAAATACGGGTTATAAAAGGGTTTTTACGGTGTAATCTGGCTGCCCGCCGTCGTCATCAGATTCCACAATAATCTTGCGCTTCTTGGGGACCACCTAAAGATAAATTTAGGTTGGAAAAAGCCGATTTTTACCTTTTTGGCGGGCTTCTTCGTTTGGGAGGTTCCGATGAGGCTCAGATTCTCGAGTCGAGGCTTACCCATCCATCCTAAAAACTAAAATTAGGAAAAAAGGGATAGAATAAATACCAGTGGGTCCCATGACCATGTCTTGCTCCTCGTCGCTACTGTCCATCAGATAGCGCTGAAGGCGTTGGCAATCCTTCGCCTCGAGAGACATCCAGCAATGCGCAACTGAAATGATACTTTTTTATAGTAAAAAGAAAGAAGAAAAATAAGAAAACGAATTTTACAAAATAAAGGAAAAAACAGGAAATCCAGCGTATAACCCGGTTCCACGCAGCGCCTAGTTCCGGCATTCCAGTCGCAGGGTCACACCTCACGGGCGTTCAGAGCGTGCGTGGGGGAGGGGGCGGGGCGTGGCCGAGTGGTCTAAGGCGCCGGTATGAGCCACAGTCTGAGGGTGCGGGTTCAATTCCCCACCCTCAAGGGAGCGCTTTAACCTTTTGCTTTTTGCGCCAAAAGCTTGGAAAAGTCCCAATAGATCATTTATGGAGCATAGTATGCGAAAAATTAATAAATTAAAAGCTTGCCGGAATTGCAAAAACAAATTTTAGCCTCCCAGGACCAAAAAAGTGGCTGATTTAACATTGGCAATGCTTTCCCAAGCAAGTTCAGTGAAAAAACCACAAAGAATGAGCCTAAATTCAAAGAAAAACGCTTCGCACAAAGGACGGAATTTGACACTTTTTGAGCTAAAAAGCTATAGAAGTCCTTATTTCTGCTGTAGATCGGCCTGAGACCTGTTCCATAACATAGCCCAGACCCTTCTCTACATTCCTAGAGCAGCGCTCCCGATTCACATGGCGTTTTCAAAAGTTATAGCGATTTGAAGTTCAAAATTTTTGACCATTTTTCGGCCCTTTCTATGGGGAGATCATGGATCGCGGAGCGTGCACAGTACACGCGCGGCCATTGGAGTGCCCTGGAGCCGCCCCACCTCTCACAGGCGCTTTCCCTGTCCTCTGAATGCCCGTGACCTTAGCGTTCGCAAGGACATATTTTTTGCATTTTCGTGATTTCAAGCCAGAAACAAGCCTATCTTGCGCAGAATTTTGCGCTGATTCCGAATATGTTGACCAAATCGGCGAAATCGCTGTTTCCCGAAAGTTATGGGCGTCCAATGACCGATAAACGCCCAAAATGAGCTACTTTCCATGGGTTTCCCGGCTTAAATCGTTTATAACTTTCCCGAGATCGCGATTCCATGAATTTGTTAAAAATCTTCGGAATCAACGCTAAATTCTGCACAAAATAAGCTTGGTAGGTTCGCCAATTGAGACTGCGCCGACAATAAAAACATTTCCTTGCAGCCTCCATTGCTATTTTTTTGTCGGAGTACCGGTCCGAATTTGCTGTTTGTCTCCAAGTTTGATTCTTTCTACTGTATATCGTTGTGTAAAATCAGCACGTCTTTTCCCTCACTTCCTTTGAAAAACTATCTTTATTAATAACGAAATTGCGGGCTAACATCTTTCGACATAAACATCCAAGCGTGTCAAGGCGAAATGGGGGGAAGAGAGGGGGAATTGAGGCAATATGGAGAGGGACGAGAATGGATATATCACGGTGGATTGTATTAACAAAACAAAACAAATGGAGGGGATAAATGCCACAATATTACAGAGCGAGAAATAAGAAGAAGAAATGAGACCAAAGATATCATTTTGGCATTGATTAAAATAGGAAGAAAAAGAAGAAGAAACGGAACCTGAGGAATAAGGACAACAAAATCTGGGTTTTTATAAGGTAGTTTCTAGAAGAGATCAATAAGTTGATCATTCAACATTTCGGCGTCTCCATCATCAGAAGAATCGTCAGATTGGCAGAATGCAGCGCTGAGCTCTTCTCTCTGCTTCTCGGCCGACATCTTCGCGTCGATGTCGAGCGCCGGGGCACAGGATAGGGAACGCACCTCGCGATCCTCGTTTTCACACGTCTAAAATGGAAAGATTATGTTGAAAAATTGCAAATATGTACCTGAACAGCCGGCTCACTTCCGCCTCGAATCGATCTGTCACTGCTATCATCGCTATCATCGTCATCACTCGACCAGCCGTCTAAAAATTAGGAAATACTCGGTTTTTTTTCATTATCGGGGGGAGAAGGAAACCTTACCTGTGGAAGCGTTTCTATGCTGTTTTTACTATTCCTAAACCTAAAAACGCGCAAAAACCTATTAAAAATACAAAAATATAAATTTTTCTATTAAAAAACTCAATTTTCCGTCAAAATTTGAGACCTTAGACCGTTATTATAGTTTGGAAGTAGTTTTTCCACACTAGGCAATGCTAATAAAAATAGTCGCAACGTTTCTAGGCTTTTTTAACTATCTCTAAACGTAAAAACGTTACAAAGTCTCGAATTTGAGGGTTTAGATCATTTTTAAAGTGTTGTAAGCAGTTTTTGAAAATAGAAATCCTAGAAAATAGCAAAAACGTACTTCTATTGGTATAATTGACATGATGATTGATGACGACACATCTCTTCTGCACCAAATCATAGTGCAACTCTGAGCCCGGGAATACACAACGGTTCGTAGATGTCTAAACCACAATTTAAAGTATTTTCCACACAACATACCCTAAAGTACGAATCCTTGGGCAGCTGAGCGTCAATGGGAATGTGTCGTCGTGCCACCGGCAGATCGAGCCGCGGCTTTTTCGGGCTCGAGGCGCTATCTTCATCTTCTAAAAACAAAAATTTATGTAATTTTATTTTGTTAAAAACCTTGTCCATCAGTAGACGATGATGAAGCCTGCTGCATCTCCCTTTCTTCGATATCTTGCATTATCTAGATTTACAGATAAAAATTTTATCTTTGAAAAATACCTGATAAAATTTCTCGACGGCAATTTCATTCAGCTTCTTGCGATTTGTCGGCTTCTCGGCGTTATCTCCGTTTTTCTCGCTGATTCGAGCGTCTAAAAAAGAATAAAAAGGCTGGATATCGCTTCCATACCATGTTCATCAACCAATTTCTGGAATGGCCCTCCGAGTTCGAGACAGATATTTGTAATGATATCATCACAATTGCCCAACAGCTCGATATCCGCCGTGTAGTTCGACAGTGGCTCCCTAAATTAAATCTAATTATTTTTCAAAAATTAGAATTCACCTCGAATTTTAAAACCTTTTTAAATTTAAAAACAGCTATATCCTTGATAAAATTAGAAAAATTTTCATAAAAAAACAGCTTTTTATTTAAATGAAAGGATGACTCGATTTCCCTTACCGATTAATGAGAATCTGCGGTACATCAGGGCTGACGGCAAATGGGATGAGGGAGACCGGGCGCACTTTCAGGGATGAGCCTAAGATAATAAATAACAGAAAATAAAATAAAACAAACCAATAACGACGACCAAATCGACATGATCCTTATCGAGGGCCATTTGCTGGTGGAAATCATGGCCCAGATCCTCGCCAAAGAACACGATATCCGGCTTGATGATGCCCCGCTTGCATTTCGTGCATCTGGCCACTCTCTTCGCCATCACATCTTCTTTTATCGCTTCTCCGGGGTATTTCATTCCGCACGTCAAGCAGGTTGCCTTTGAGAATGAGCCTGAAATTGAATAGTAAGGAGCTTTCGCATTATTGTGGGGGCGGCTAATTTTTGCTATAAGTCCATAAACGCCTAGTAAATGCCAGAAGTAAATTTTTTGATTGTTTTTAATAAGTTTAACAATATTTTAAGCGCGAAAAGTAACGAAAATCTTCGCAAATTTTGAAATTTTGGTACAAAATGGATTTTTGTTGTGTATTTTCACTACGTTTTGTGAGTTTTACGTTTAGAAATAGTCGAAAAATTGAAAATTTAAAAACTCACGTCCAATTAAATTTTTCTATACGTAACCAAAGGCATTTTAGTTACTTATAGAAAAATTCAATCAGACGGGAAAATGCAGATTTTCTAATTTTCAATTTAATTTTTAAAAGAATCTATTTTTAAGCAGGCAAAAATGCACTTTAAAAAAATTTTAATGTTCTCACCATGACATTCGACAACCCTCGTAATGCCCGTCTGCCTCTCCAGCGTGTCAATATTCTGCGTATAATTCCTCAACAACTGCTCGTTCTCCTCCAAACATTTGATGAATTTATGCGAGACCGATGGCTCGAATTGACCCGGGAAAATCTCCTAAAAATACAAATTTACGTTAAAAATCCTAAATTCCATACCTTGGCAAAATCGAAGAACGGGGCCGGATTACGCCGAAAATACGAGATGTCAAACATGGCTGTCGGGTCGGGAAGGTCCGGGAAATCCTACAAAATTAGAATTTCAAGAAAAGAAGTGGGATTGCTTACGACATGTAATCGAGCATAGATGCCGTCTTTCGAGCGGAAATCGGGGATTCCACAACTGACAGACACGCCAGCACCCGTTAACATCAGAATCTTCTTCGAACGCCGGAACAGTTCAACGGCATCGGAGAACGTGTTGAAGTCGGGCAGCTTCTTTCTGGAAAAAAATACTTTAAATTACGGTACTGGGCTGTTGGCGGGGGGGGGGTATTTTTATAGTGTTTTTCTGGAGTTTTTGATTGCCAGAACGTTCTAAAATTAATCCCAAAATTTTGACCTTTTTGGCCATTTTTCATACATTTTCGACTAAGAATTATAAATTTTCTGAACTTTTTCATGATTTTTTTGGAAGCTCTTTATATCTAAAAACTATTTAAAATGCTATAAAAACGGTCTACATTTCGTTTTGGGCCGTACGAAATTGCCGGAAAGAAATTTGCCCCACCCCCCGTTAAGAGCCCAGTACCAAAATTGCCAAATTACCTGATTGGCGGCTGATCGATCAACTCGGAAAGAATGGACAGAATTGCCCGATCGCCGTATGAGGCCGGGGGAGTCGGCATCCCGGGGAATAACAGCTTCAACACCTAAAAATATACAAAATCAAGAAAGGGGAGGCTATAAGGTACCTGGAGTGGAGAATAGCTGTTCAACATATCCGAGGCCTTGTCGAGGAGATCGTTGTTCTAAAAACAGATATAAAAATAAAGATACAACTACCGTATTCCTCCACAAATCCGATCCGGCCGGTGATGGAGAACGGGGTGGAGAGGCTGACGGCCCATTTTCTAGCTCGACGGTTTGATGGAGGGTTTCTGAAATAGGAATTAGAGATTTTTATGATTTTCTAACTAATTTCTCCATATTTTTTTCAGTTATTTTAACAAATTTCCGGAGCTACCGTACTCCCAAAAGTCGTTTATTTCGTAGAAAATCACTTTTTAGAGGTTCCGCCGTCCCGCTTATTATGGAAAAGTTATTTTTAAGGCTATTTTCTACGTATTTGGCACACAAAAATGTTCTTTTTCCACAAATAATAGCTACAACGTGAAATTATAATTTTCCCATACCTGTAACAACAATCTGCTCCCCACTGGGACATTGTTGAGGTCCATATTCCGGAGTCTCGTCGATTTTGACCATTTTGAGGGGTAGATACGCCTAAATAAAACTTATACAAGGGAAGGCGATAGACGTCAAACGGAAAGAGACGAAAAACAGGCCCTAGCGTGGCTAAAAGTGACTTTCTCGCCTGAAAACCACGTCAAAACGATAGATCGGGGTCTACCGAACAAAAAGATACCCAAATTAGACAGTTTTTGATATTACTGTATGATTAGGGCCCGGTAGAGGGCCCATTACAATGGTGATATGCAGAAGGAGGGGCGGACGGGAAGGGGAGGGGAGACTACGGGAGGGTACTATAGATGCGTCCGGGGAGGAATATCGGAAGGAAAGAGTAGCGCGGAGCCATCTAACAGGAAAAGAGGCACATTACAGTACCTCTATACAGCTAAAATACGATAAATACGCGAAATGGGCTTTGGTGCAGTCGGTAGAGCGGTAGCCTTCTAAACTAAGGGCCAGTGTTCGATTCCCGGGATCTTCGGAGTTTTGCTTTCTGGTTTTTAAGCATTCTTCTGATGTTTTTGTCGTGTAAATGCAAAAAATTATGGATTTCAAGCCAAAACCTGTAAATTCAACGTTTTTCTAACCGATTTATCATCGAGAAACATCTAACAAAACAAAACAACAATGTCAACAACATCAAAGATCAACAATTCGTAACAATAAAGACGAAATGAATTGGATTGTATAACAATTGACAAGGCTTCTTCTTATTTCTTGACCTTCCGCTTGGCCTGTGGTTTCTCGTCGGGAATATCCATGAACACTGGCTTTCTAAAAAAGAAAACTATTGTTGAGGTATGAAGAGGTATACCTTTTGCTCTTCAACGACACCGTTCCGCCCATATTTCCGGTGGCCAGCAGCTTCTGCCAATCCGCGTCCGACCCTCCGATTGCGTATCTAAAAGAGAACGGTTTTCTGGTTCTTGTGCAATATCGGGGGGGGGGCAACATTTCCTCCGATTCTACTTTCCGAACAAAACCGTCTTGGCTATTTTAGCGTCTAAAAACGTAAAAACGAACATGCCAAATGCAAAAAATCATTTTTTCGACCACCAATGACCGATTTTTCACCTAAATTTCGACTTTTAAAAATTTGCTGAAGTTTTGCGATTGTTTTTCCAATTTAACTATAGTTATCTTTGTTTACCGATTCAAAACAGTACCCTTTTTTCCAAGGAAATTAAAAATTCGAAGCATTTTTCTTCGTTTTCTGCAAATTTGTTTCAAAAATACGTTTAAAATACTATTCCATTATTAGGAGTTTGTTGAGTCACGGGAAAAATGCAGCCCCCCTCGATATTGCACAAGCTCCCTTTCCCCTCCCTTACTTGTCAAGTCCCTTGACGGGGATCTCGTTTGCCATTTCTTCTCTATCCTTCTCTTGTCTCTTCTTGATCTCTCCCGATACTCGTTCCAGATCTTCCTCCAGCGTCTGTGCCAACGGCTTCATCTTCTCCATCGTCTCATCCTCGTCCGCTTCGTCCTAAAATCAAACATTTCATAAAAGCAAAAAACGTACGTGATCTCCATCGAGCGCCTTTTGAATGGCTCCCTCACAAATAGTGTCCAGGGCCTGGGAGAGCTTGTGGATAGATTTGTTGTGCACGGCCATTATCTAAAACAACATGCGTAAATCATTAAATGACTAAAAAAATTAGGTTCTTTTGTATTATCGGGGGGACCAAATTCTTCCCTAAAAATCCAATTTTTCTAGTAGAAATCGCGGAAGGGTTTCTAAAATTATTACTACTCTTCTTAAACCTAAAAACTTTAAAAATTTGGATTAAAAACGATACAGAAATATGGATTTTCGACCAAAATTTCGAATTAAAAATTTTTTGAAGGTTTTTAATTGTTTTCCACTTGAAAAAGGGTCACTAAAACACTATTAAAATAATGACCATTCAATTATTATGCATTTCTGCATTGCCAGAAAAGTAGGTCCCCCGATATTGCCAAAGCACCAGAAAAGACCTGATTGAGCGGCAGATCGATCTCCTGAGCCAGCGTATGCCCGTCCTTCCTCTGCATTCCCATTCCAACCAACAGGGCCGCTTGAACCGCCGACAACTTGGCCTAAAATTAAATAATTTTAATTTTTTTAAGTTTTAATAAGGCTATTTTAAGTTTTTAAATAATTTGAATTATCTAAACTAAAAAAAATAAAATCTTGAACTTCGTTATATTGTTGAAAAATCTAAAAATCTAGCTTAAAACTTCGGTAATAAAATTTATATATTTTCCTCTATTAAATCTTAATTTTGTCCTAAACCCTGGTTTTTAAAAATTATAATTACTAATCCAAAAATGCACCTCTTCTGACAGCTTCTCGAGGAAATAGATCTTGGCGAGTGTGGGCAGGAGATCAGTGATGAGGGAGTGATCAACCAGAGAACGAGAATACGCTGCCAGACGACCCAGAGAAGCATCAGAGAGCAGGAGACCCAATTCTGCACGGGTAAGCTCTAAAAATAATCGATTACGATAGTGAATTACAGCGAATTAGGTACCTTTTCTGGGTTGCGGTGGCAGGGTATTGGAGGGGAGTTGAAGGAGCGAGAATGACATCTGGAATTTGGCATAGAAAACGCAAGAAAATTCGATAAACCTGAGCGGTGAATTTGCGGAATTCAAAAGAGAGCAGCTCGATGAGACGGGCACGGAACTCCGCCCAATACGGGTACAGCCAACGTTCTGAAAATGAAGGATAAAACAGAAAAATTGCTAAAAAACCTGATAGATTTAGATAGAAAATCTATAAAAATAATAAATCTAGTTTTTTTTACCAAGATTTCAAATTTTGAAAGATTTTTCAAAGATTTCTAAATGACTTTCCAATTGAAATACAGCTAGGTTTTGTCAAAATGGCGTAAGATGGGGAAAATTTCACCCCCCGATATTGCAAAAGCTCCCGATTAGCTTTTCTAGCTTTTAGAAACCGTTTGTCGGCTTTTTAAACTCTAAAAACCCAAAAACTAACCGTCCTCATCATCATGGACCAATTGCTTCAACACGATACAAGTGTGTTCCCCGGTGATATCATTGGCCGATTGGCGCAAATAGACGGGCGCGAAGCGGGCCCGTTTCCAGAATTTCAACAGGGGCAGTGTCAACCCGAATGAGACGCCTAAAAGGCGAATGAAACTTTGAAAAAGAAATTAATTCTTACCCAAATAATCGAGTTTCTCGGCCTTTCTCTCTTCAAGTCGAAGCAGAAGTGGGGGCAATTCGGTGCGAGGGCTAATCTGCTCTTCCAGGAGACCCAGGGCGCTTGACTAAAAATTGAAATTAAATTTACGTTTTTTAATCTAAGAAAGAATTAAATTTTTTATTGGCTTAACCTCAAAATTTAATTAAAAATTTGGATTAAAATAAATCAATCAGTAGTATAAAATTGTTGTTTTTAAAAAGCATTACCTTGACGGTTCCAATCTCCTCCTTCTTGGCCTTGACTGATTTATCCACCGTGCATGGGATCTTTCCGAGATAATATTCCTCCAGTTGTTCTAGCGCTTTCGTTCCGTAGCCCATTCCTAGAAAAATAGAAAATGGTTATTAAAATCCTATCAATTTTATCATAAATAAACAATTCAATTTGTGTCGAAAATTCATCAAAATCAAAATGATTTTAAAAACTCTACATTTCGAGAGATTTCCAGAGATATTTGTGAACCGAAAAAACCAGCGAATTTAAATTAAGACATTTTTCTTTCAAATTATGACATTTTCACAGCGTAAATTTCGGTATTTTAGAAAATTCTGAATCAATTCGAAATTTCGAAATATGCCGTCAAAAAGTTGTATATAAATAACAAAGTTAATTTTTTTGATAATTCAAACCTTGATAATCCGGGTGGACAGCGATGCGGATGATACGGCCACCACACAGAGACGGAAATTGCTTGTCCTAAAAATAATTTATTACAAGAAATAGAAAATTAATGAAAACCTGGAATTGCTGGGATACGGTCCAGGGGATCAAATCGCCGGCGGGGATCTGATGAGTGCTGAGGGATTTCGAGACGGTAGCCCGCGAGATATTCCCCTCGAAACACACTTGAACAACGGCCAGCGCCTAAAAATTGCTATAAATTCGTGGCATAAAGAAAAACAAATCATGTTTTCGATAAATAAATTTTTTTTAAATCAACCCTACAAAATTGGTATAAATATATAAATGCTAAATGAATAAAATACCTGCGGTACTCCGGTATCGTCTTTCTCAATCGGGGCCATCAACACGAAGAGATGATGGGCAGGAGCATCCGATAACATCTGCAGATCATTCGGCGAATTCTTGTAGTGGGCCGAGACGTAGATTGACATGATCTCAAGCAAAAAATACTTTAACGCTAAAAACACATACCTGTCCCAGAAACGCCTCAGAAGCCTTGTGGAATGAGAAGAGCGTGTCCCGATTCACGTAGTATCTAAAAAAAAAATCGGTTTTCTGATCACCAACTCCAAAAACGTACAATTGACAATTGGCCGGCGGCGGAATGCCACAATTGAGCTTTTGGGCGGCAGCCGGGGCATCGAGGCATAAAACACGGGATAGCCACGCTTCCACATCATCCCCTGGACGATAGCGGATGCTCTCTTCCAGCTGCAACTCGTGCAGGATACGGCCTGAAAATTCGGTTTTATAAAATTGTTGTAGATAAAAAAATCGATACCTTTAGCGCCAATGTTCTTCTCCTTCTGTAGCGTTGCCAGTCCCTCGGCTTGAGCCCTCAATTGTGTGAGAAGCTTCATCGACAGCGATCTGCCCGTTCCTTCATATCCAGAGATTGTCGACGCCATCATTACCATGTATGGGCCTAAATTAAAAATATCGGTTGAAAAAATAACATAGGTAACTTAAATCTTAAAAAATACAAAGAATAAAAATTACCGGAAATGAGCTTCTTGACTTGTGGAAGAGGGATGGCTGCCGCTTCATCAACTACCAGCAATTCGGCCTGTCCCAGTTTATCGGCTTCTGACGGGTCGATGTACTGGAAAAGCCAGCCAATAAAACAGTGTAAAATTACATCAATAAAATCCAAATTTAGCTGGTAAGTTTAAAATCAGTAATTCACATTACAATTAAAATTTCAGCCAAGCAGGGTTTAAGCAAAAATACAAATAGCCATAACTATAAAAAGGCAATAATATATATTCACATCAACACTACAGCTTACGACCAAAATTCATCCTTTTCTTCAAAAAATTAAACTAAAATTTTACTTTTAGAAATTTCCCACAGAAAAATATGGTAATTATAATGATAAAAATATTTAACTTACTGAATTTCAAATCAAATTAAAATCATTGATAAGTATTAGTATACCTGTATAACCTGTCGATGTTCCCTTGTAATAACAATACTGACAAGCGCCTTGTTGAATTGCGGATCTTTTGACTGGGTCGTCTCAAAATCGATGTGTTCCTAAAAAAAACGCGTATTTTTAAGGAATTGAAAAATTGTCTACCTTCCAATCCATCGCCTCAAATCCCTTGACAATAAACTGGAAGAGGGTCTTCAGATTTTCGGGCGAAGGCGATGTGACAAAGATGCTCGTGTACCCGAAAGCCGCCGCCGAAGCCAGGGCTAGGCCTAAAAAAGAGGAAAATTACGTTAAAAAAGTTTTTAATACCTAGAGCCGCCGATTTTCCCCTTCCACGAGCCGCCGTAATTGAGCAGGTCACATTGAGGGCCTTATCGGTTAGCACGTCGATTAATCTAAAAAAACAGACATTTTACTCTATTTTTATAAATTTCTGTAATTAAATTGTGGGAAAGCCATACTTGAGCAATATTTTGCCCTGATCCAACGTCCTGCATTTGCTGAGAAGGAAGCCGATAGGGCGAGAGTCCTTCATCTGATCCTTCAGCTCTTTCAATTGCGCGTCATTCGGCGTCGTCTCGTTCTAAAACAGCGTTTTTAGCGTTTTAAACCCCCATAGAAAAACCTTTAGCGAAGCGGGAACGGCCTGAATCTTGGAGATGTGGCTGGAGATTGGCAGAACTTGGAGCGAATCGTCAACTACCTAAAATAAAGACTGCTTTCAGTGGTTTTAGCCCCAACCAAGCAAGCGGGATTGCTGGAAAGAGAGAGAATGAAGCGCTCGTTGAACCGGGCCGTCACATCCCCGCTGGCCGATGTTCTGTAGCGGTGGTGAACGTCCTGAAAATAGCCATAGTTTCAACTGATTAAAAATTACCATTGAAATGGCGTATAGCTGTCGAAGGGAATTCACAGAATGGAGCAGCAGAAGCACCAAACCACCTCCTTCCACTGTTTCGACAGTTCGGGCCAAAAGGTTCGGCGTTAGAGCCTCGAAGTCCTGAAAAAAGGGATATCTCGTCGGTCCTTTTGCATTATCGGGGGGGGGGGGATCAACTGTTGCCAAGGATGCAATTTTATTTAATTTAAATCGAGGAATTGTTTTTAACCCTCAAAAAATATCTATTTTGCACCAAATTTCAACTAAAAAATTTTTCCGAAGCCTTCCTAAATTATTTTCCGTTTGAAATATAGTAAAATTTTACTAAAAACCCTATTAAAACACTCATTATGAAGTTAATCGGCAGTTCTGGGCTTATAGGAAACTTTGGTCCCCCGATATTGCGACAGAACCATTTCTTGCTTGAATTTCTACCTGAAGCACGACCATTCCATAGGTATTTCCGAGGATATTCTTCGTCTCGGAATAATAGCAATAGCGAATCTTGGTCGACGAGAGGAACGAATCCAGCGGACTATCCTAAAAAAAACACTTTTAATAGCCAGCCAATTCTTACGGAAAGCATGACATTTCCGACTTGACTCTTCTTCTTCATTTGTCTCATTCTTTTCTGTTTGTTCGAAGAGAAGCCGAGATCCTTCTTGTAACACCACAGCAACGAGGGTCGCTCTCCGATCACGGCCTTTGTCAGCATGTGGTGAAGGATTGGGATCTGGAAATTATCTAATTAGGTTCATGTAAATATCGATACCTGTTCTCGCGCTTTATCCCCAACAATCACAAACATCGAGCGATGATGTTTGGCCACTCCATTCTCAATCAATGTCTTGATCCGGGGATCCAATTTCGTTGGAGCGGGCATTCCACTGAAACAAACAGTTATTTTTAGGTTCCTTAGACTTCCTAAAACTTTAAAAGAACAATAAAAATGTAGCCATCAGCGGAAAAGTAGCGAAATTCCAAAACCAAGTGGCTTTCTAAGAATGTCATCTATGAAACCTGAAACACGGCAAAAAATAACTTTTTAAACCTGTTCTGGCTCTCCAATCAAAATAAACCATTTTTATAGTTTTTTTCCACCGTTTTTAGATATCAAAGTTTGGAAAATTTCTGACTTTTTGTTCAAAAACATGAAAAAGGCCAAAAAGATCAAAATTTCCAAATTAAAATTTTTTTTGTATGGCTTTCTAGTCATCAAAACGTAGAAAAATACATCATCATGAACTTTAGAACTGCAGTGAAAGGAAAATGAGAGAAGGGACGAAGAGAGGGACGCAACTCTGTTTCGAGTCGCGCGGCAACCAACACCAAGTAAATCGCTTTTTCAACCAAGCCTCAAACTGTAAGCCAGACAAAAAAAAATGATATCTTAACGCAAAAACAACGTTAAATTTTAAAACCTCGACCATACAGCTCATTAAAAGTTTATTCATCAAAAAAACCAGAAAACAACGTTCCGAAAACACAACAATGCCATAAAATCAACAAATAAATAACAACTAAAACGATCAACAACAACAAATTCGCCTAAAATAATGAATGTCTAACAATTAATGGCCCATTCGCCTGGCCCGCGCAGCAGCAACATTCCTCTTGATAAAAGCCGGACGGGGGGCCGGTCTAAAATCAGATCAATCAATAAAAAAAGAGGCCCAACCTGTAGATGTCATTTTGCAAGTCAACGCCACGCTGCTGTTTCACCGTATCCGCATACGGGATCTCACCCAGCTAAACGAAAATGGTATTTTTTGGTTCTTTCGCGTTATCGGGGGGCGGGGGGGGGGTTTCTGTAAGGGCCCAATTTTTCGTATCTAAATAGAGTAAATGTCTCTGAATTTTTTTACAATAGATGAACATAAAAGCGTTATAAAATTTTATAAAAAATACAAACATCGATTTTTTTTTGATCAAAAAAATGCCGATTTTCGAACCAAATTCCACTAAAAAACTTTACCAGGGTTTTTGTTATTGTTTTTACAATCAAGAGATAGAGATTAAATTTTGTTGAAAACACTATAAAAAAGGTATTTCTGGGCTTATGGGAAAAAGCTCCGGTACCCCCCCCCCCCCCCCCCCCGATAATGCGAAAGAACCTGTTTTGGATTAAGCTATTTAGTAATATTAATCTATTAAATTGAATTTAAGGTCAAATTCTACCTGTGAAGTGATGAGGAGAGACAACGAATCGATATCCATCGGTCGAATGAGGCAGTCGACCTTTTCCATCTTTTCCCTCGGCACCGGGGTCAATAGGTACAGCTTTCTAAAATGACATTTCACACGCAAAACCAGAATTCTCACTTTTTCTCGACATCAACCGCTCGAATCAGCCCGAATCCAACGATCCGAGGGGGATGGCTGTTCAAATGGGACATTCCTCGAATACGGGGGAACGATTTCAGCCCGAAAAGACGACGCGTCGGCTCGGCTTTCTAAATTGGGAGTGTAAAAATAAGTAGGTACTGGTGTATTAACGGGGGACAATGTTTTTCAAAACTCCATCGACATCCTTTCATAAAAAAATCAAAATTTTCCAAAAAAATGCGGACTTTTCGTAAAAAATGCATGAAAAACGGCCAAAAATTAAAAAAGCCTGAGTTTCAAAAAGTTTTTATCACTTTTGGGCAAAAATACCTACTCATCGCTGCTCAAAAATCTCTGAAATTACCTGCTCATCATCGTAATACCCCAAGGCGACGGAAGTACAATTGATGGCGGCGAGGACGAGCTTGTCATCAATACACATTCTCTCCTCTGGGAAACACAGACAAATCGCGCTAAAAAGGGCTATCAAAGAGACAAGAAAAGGTACTGGAGTGTTAGCGGGGGAAACCAAATTTTTCTAGTAATCTCGTACGACTCTATCGCGAAATCTAACCCATTTTATAGGATTTTATAGGATATAAAACGTTCAAAAGAAATTATTTAAATTTTCCAATTCTCAATACACTAGTTTAAAAAATTCGCGAATTTTCAAACAAGTTTTCAAATATTTTTATAACTTTCTAGCAATCCATAGATTACTACTAAAAGCACCATAAAAATCGATGTACAATGTTATAAACGGGTACTAGAGGCGGAAAAAAAGCAAATTTAGTCCCCCGCAGAGTCCAGTACCGGAAAGTAGCCTGCAAATACCTAAAATCAATGGCGAATGGCGGATGGGAGGCAATGCTCGACAAATGACGACGACAGCTCGATTGTAGCAGATTGCAGAAATATCCGAGCATTGTCTGCTGACGATTCTGTGCTGAGAGGCCGATCTTACTAAAAAAAATATAAATTTTGGCCAAGAACGATTTCTAAAACCTTTTCAATTCAACGCCAGAATTGTTGGGTGTATTGATGTGGAATTCCCTTGAAATGACGCCGGCTGGGGGCTGCAAAAAAGCTTGATTCATTTTTAACAGACCGAAAATACCGTATAAGTGCCAAATGCCGTGACAAAAGTGACGGCGGTGGGGCGGTGGAGGCTGTTGAAAATATGATTGAGGGCAGCAGCACCCTCACCCATGATGAAACCCATTGTATTGACGACAAGGAGACTGGTGGGGGTGGAGAACTGGAAATAAAGAAGATATAAGACCGTCCGGTTCTGGTTCATTAGCGGGGGGGAGGGCGGAAACTTTTCATTCAGCCTGCATCTATTGCAATAAAAACTAGACATTTTATGATGTTTTTAAGCGCTTTCGTTCGCTAAAAATCAAGCAAAATTATAGAAAAACGTTAAAAACTTACTTTTGACTATTTTTAGATCTTTCACAGGTAGGAAAATGCCAACAATCATTTTTATAATGTTTTTAGCAGTTTAAGTTTGCCAAAAATATATAAAAACCTTACAAGAACCTCAAAATAATTTGACATTTTGACTATTTGAAATCTCTAAAACGAAAAGTCAAATTCCCTTATGAACTTTTTCTATCTAAAAAAAAACGCAAAATGCTGTTAAAATAGGCTGTACTTATTTTTTCGTCTACAGGAAACGTAAAAATTTTATTCCCCCCTTTAACGCACCAGCCCCGAATGTCCGTCAAAAGCAAATTTTCACCTCTTTCCACTCTTGAATCAGCCTTTCAATGGCTGTATAATAAGGGGCAGGATTCTCGATTTGTTTGTTGCCATAGAGGAACGCATTCGAGAAGTGGGCCGGTTGATGGGCAAACGGAGGCGCTAAACACCAAAATTCAACGCAAAATCTCCAAAAAAAAACGTACACAAAATGGGTGCGTCTATTCGGGTCAATGTGACACATCCAGAGGGGCTCATCTCAGATTGGCCGATATCACAATCCAGCACCCACACATCACCATTTTGGCTAAAAAAGGGGATTTACCAGCTAAAAACTTTTGGTGCTGGACTGTTATCAGGGGGAACAATTTTTCCGACTATTCACCTGTTGATTAACGTATAACGTATTTCATAACGCTTTTAGTAGTTTTTGAATGCTATAAAATTATCAAAAATTTGAAAAATTGGAGCTTTTCGGTGATTTTTCTTACTTTTTGACCAAAACTCAAGAATTTTCCAATTTTTAACATTTTTTACGAGCTATTTTTATATCCAAAAACTGTGTAAAATGCTCTAACAAATGGTATTTTTCGTATAGGGTTGTACGCGGTTATTTGGAATAAATTAGTCTCCCCTGCTAACAGTCCCGTACCAAAATTTCAGCCAATACCTCCGGGAAAGAAAATCGTTGACAAATATGCGGAGAAACGTCGATTTGCCCGCGTTTGCCGCACCGGTTATCACCACGGATTGACGGTCGCCCATTTCGACCTGCGATTGGATATGCTCGCAGAGACCTAAAAAGGCCAATAAAAACTCTACAACCTGAAAAATACCCTGAATCTGGGCAATAGATTCGCCGTCATATGGCTGATAGTCATTCATCATAGCCAGCACCATTGTTTCTGTCGACGATTTTGGAATTATGAAATGCTGCAAAAACGATAGATATTAAAATGAGACTTTTTTACATCATATAGCTGGGAGAGAATGGTGACAACTGGGGCAACACGCGACATCAACACCAATATACAAGTACTGGTCGGCGCTTCTTGCCACAGCTCCACGATTTCCAAGTAGTCGTTTGGGCATAACTAAAAATAGGAAAATCAATAAAAATTCGGTCCTTTTGCATTATCGGGGGGAGCCGGAGAACATTTTTCTAAGGAACCAACTTTTCAAATATAAATAGCAGACGTGTTTCTAAACTGTTTTTTTTTGCTATTCCTAAACGTAAAAAATATAAACATATCGATGTTCGACCAAAATGGCCGGTTTTTTACCGAAAATGCGCCTTTTTTGAAATTTTTTTTGACTTTTATATAGTTTTCTAGTTAAAATATAGCTTATTTTGCTAAAAAACATTCTGAAAATACATCCTATTACGTTCCTAGGCATTTCTAGATTAATAAAATAAAAGTTGTTCCTCCCCCGATAATGCGCAAGAACCAAAAATGTAGTAAAAGATACCTCTTTGACTCGACTCTCAACGCGACCAGCCTTTTCCGGGAGAATACATTCTCGCCCACTCAGACATGCCTAAAATAACCTTCTTCTTTCAGAAATTAATTTTTTACCGGGCATTTATCCGGTGAAACAACGGGGACTAGATTCTGCTCAGAATACGGCGCTGGCTTCAGAACGTGACGATTTATCTGAATTATCGAAATGTTGTAGTTATAAAATTAACGATACCGACGCTTCCCCAGCAATTGCCATAATCTCAAATGCGCCATTGATGAGAATACACTCATCCTCTCGCATCACAATCACTTTCATCGGTGTGATTTTACCCGGGAATTCCCTGCAATGGAAATATACTTAAAAATATAGAAAATACCGAATTTTGGAGGCACTTGTTGTTGGAATTGCAAAATTATCGTATTGTTGCGGGCAGGGCTTCTTCCTGGGGATCTCATTGAGCTCTTCCTTCCACGCCTTCAGCCGGGTCAACAGTTTGGCGCTTCGTCCCATTGACCATTTCCGTTTCTTGGCCGCCAACCGAAGGGATTGGCGCCCACCTACTTCGCCCACCGACTTCTTCACAACCTTTCGTTTCTAAAAGTCGACAATCTAACACGAAATCCGAGTCTTCCTGTTTCTAAACTTTTCCAAAGGTAAAAAAGTACCAACAAAGCTATTAAAACTACCAAAATATAAATAAATTTATCGTCCAAAAAAGCTCAATCTGGATTAAAAAGTTTTGTAAATCGTTTTCCACTTAAAATATGCCTTGAGCCTACTAAAAAGTATAAAAGGACTTGCTATGACTTGACTATACATGTCTGCATTGTAAGAGAAGAAATTGGAGGCCCCCGCCGAATTAGTAAAGTAAAGCATAATTAGAAACTTCGATACCTTTGGCGTTTTTGGTTTCTCATCATCATCGTCGAGAATGATGATATCCGGGCCCATTCAAGCGAGAGTATCTGAAAATGGAGAAAGTTATTTCCTAAAAAAACGGAAATAAAGAGAAAATAGAGAGAGAAAAAGAAAGAGAGGAAAGAAAAAAAAGAACCTGGCAAAGAAACGCGGAATCAGAAATGTAGTTTATCGTCATTCAACGAAATCTTCAGCTTCGCTTTCAAAAAAGCGGAATTCCACGGCAATAAAATACATTTATTTACAAAAAGTGTACAATACATAAATTATATCTTTGCAACGAGATCCTCGACAATTTCTTTGCAAGTGGGCCGTTCGGCGCGGTCCTTTTTGCTGCATTGTAGGCCGACGCGGAGCAGGCGCGAGAAAAAGGCTTCGTCAATTTCTGAGATATTTTTATATACTTTTTCTTTATCTCTCAAACCTGCTCCATGTGTCGGTGTTCTTTTGTCGACAAGTTGGTTGAATATTGGCATTGGTTTGTGGTCGTTTTTCTCGTCAATAACCGCGCAATAATCGGCAAGACCGTGTGGTTCTCGGGTGTCGATGTAGGCGCGGAGGCCTAATTTTTAGGATGCCAGTTTTATTTCTTATTTTTGTTGTAATTTACGCTTTTTGCGCTTTTACTTACCAGTTGCCAGCTCCAGTAAAACAACCCCAAAACTATAAACATCCAATTTTGTAGACAAAATCTTCGAGGTAATGAATTCTGGGGGTAGATAGGCCAGTGTTCCCTATAATTCTATTTTTAACCCTTTTCTGTTTGTTTTCAAACCTTTATATGCGAGGCAATAAGCGGGAATTTCTCCTCGGCATCCGCTTCCACTTGCCCATCCCGGCTCAACCCAAAATCGCCCAACTTTGGCTCCAAATGCTTGTCCAGCAGGATATTTGCAGTTTTGACGTCACCGTGGATGATCGGGGTTCGGCCTAAAAACCGTTTTGTAAGAAAAAAGCATTTCCAAACCGATAGTGTGTAGAAAATGCAGGCCCCTGGCCGCTCCCTCGGCAATATCGAGCTTTTGACGCCAGGAAAGCGGCAAAGAGCCTTCCTAATCGTTTTATAGGATTTTCTAGCTTGATTTTGACTTACTCTACATAAAATTCGATCCTCCAGCGATCCATTGGCCATGAATTGATAGACGAGACACGGTTCTGGGCCATCCAACGAAAACGCGTATCTAATTTCCCTTTTGTCAAAACAATTCCCCACTTACAAAGGTAGAATGTTATCGTGACGATATTTTGCAAGCGTTCGTAGCTCTTGTAGGCTTTGGCGGAGGCGCTCTTTTTCAAACTAAATCGAGGTTTTCGCTGTTTAAAACAAAAGAAAACCTGATTTCCACGATCAACACCGGCATGTAGTCTTTTCACCGCAACTTTTGTTTGTTTCCATTCCCCTCGATAAACGACGCCATAGCCCCCTTTTCCGATCATCTGATTCTTCGCAAAATTATCGGTGGCTAACTGAAAATGTGGTTTTTAGAATGGAAACTATAAAACTACCTCCAATTCATGATAAGACACTTGTGGGGTATTCTGAAGGCCAGTGAAAATACGAGCAGAATCGTCCGTTGACGAGCTAAACGTGTTTTTAGGATTTCAAAGCTAGAAAAAAATACCTTGCATGTGTATCAGCAGCTGTGGGCGGTCTGACAGACGAAGAAGAGGGTCCGCCATGTTCAGCGCCAGAATTACGAGATCCCGCTTGGCTCCAGTTCTAAAACTTGGGAGTTAGAAATCTAAAAATTCGCGATTTCTACCTGATGCGGTCTCGTCCCGGATTGTGATGTATTAGCGGCTGATACTCTGGCTGCACTCGATACCCTTCCCTCACCAATACACAACTGCTCCAAGTAGTGATGCTTTGAATTGACTAAATCTTCGTTTTAACTTTTTAAAAACAACAAACCGAGTCCCCTCATCATCTCCATACACCGCACCATCTTTGCGTGTGCGAATACAATGTAGAGATCGAGTATCGAGTATCCTTTACTCGCCCAAATTCGTAGGAGAAGCCATGTTGGCCCATAACCTGTCTTGTCGCTCACCTAAAACCTCGCGGTTTCCGACTGATGCCTTGTTTTGACTTACCGCATATTTCTTACATCCATCCACGTCATTATTAGCGATTCCTGGCATGAATGGAACTAAAATTAGGCTTTTCCAAACGGATTTGTGCCAAAGACCGACCAATCTCGGTCCAAATATCGCCGGAATCGAGCAGTTCACAGATGTCTCTCATCGCCTCGTAGGGCATCTCATGGATCAACGCCGTCTCGTCCATTTTTGTTGATTTATTTGAGTTTATATTGGATTATTTCGGGGAAAATGAATAATTTTTGAAGCGGCGAAATCTGACGAATTTCCTGGCCTAACCGCATGGCTACACAAGGCGCCAATGGACGATGGAAAGCCCGGGACTTCAAAAAGACCTTTAAAATGTAGTATATAAGTACTTTTAATGTATCTAAAATCTGAACGGTTTTTTATTGACGTTTCAAGCGTATCTTATTGTTGTTCATCAAAGTTTTATCGCAATACAAGAAAAATGACGAAGAAAGACCCGAAAATATTGCCCAAAAACTCCAAAAAATATCACAGAAAATGGCTGGGAGGTGGCTGGGAATGGGGGATGCGAGATTTCTTCAGCGTCTAACAACAAAAAAATCCAAAATAGATAAAAACCATAAATAGCACCAAATAAAGGCCGCCAGAAAAAGCAATAAATAACAGAAATAAATGGATTATTTAGTGTTTACAAGAAAAGGGGCAATAGCTAGAGGATCGGTTAATTGTTTCACCATCGATTCGTAGGTGGATTGGGCGCCAGGATGGGTACCTGAAAAAAAGCAAAAATAGAGATGGATACGGTAGAATTGGGTGCGAAATAGCAGCTAGAAAGTGAAAATGACAAACCTGTCAGTGAAGAGTGGATGACTGACTTTCCCAATCCGGATAACCACGTCCAGATTCCTTTCTAAACGTATTGATGATTATTTTTTATAGAAATTTAGGATTTTTTGAGCATAAAAAGTTATTATTTAGGTTATTTAATCGTCATTAAAGTTTGAATTAGTTATGTTAAGATCATAACTGGTTTTTATTTTTCTAGTTACCGTATTTAAAAAATTTAAAACCGCGGAACAGCTAAAAAGACCCACCAGATCAGCATTTCGACAACTTGGCCGATCGGTTTCTTTCATTTCCTCGAAAACCAGTCTCCGGAGAACTACCAAAATCTGGAAATCGCTATCCAACTCTCTGATTTCTGGCCTTACCGTATCCTGATCGATCCATCTAGTAGACACCACCTCAATCCCACAATTCCATTCGACACCTGCCGACGGGGTTAAGGGTTCTGAAATAGATGCTACGATTTCTTTAACAGACAATTTTTTACCTGTCTTTTCGATCAAAAATACAGAGGGTGGATAGATGAGAGAATCGAGCGATTGTTTCGCGTCGATTGAGAGACCCGGGCCTCCATTGTCTTTCGACGATTTCAATTTCTCCAGGTGGATACGGTAGATCGGGTTGGCACGGCGGGTCTGAATTTTTCATTTAAAGGGTTTCTGAGGGGAATCGTACAGTAGCGCACATCTGAGTTCTAGAGCGTACTCTTGCGTACTACCACGTACTTTAATTTACCGCAGTGTACTGCTGCGTACTAATGCGTATTGTTGCGTAGTATCGCGGATTAGAACGTAACGAGACGTACTCCAGCGCCATACCAAGTGATTTAAGTAGCGTACTACAGCGTACAATAACGTATTTTGGCGTATGATAAGGTATTGGTAGCATATTTTAACGTACTACTTCGTACAGTAACGTACTACTGCGTATCGTAGCGTACTATTTTCTACGGTACCTCCCATGCATCCATCATAGACAATCCCTTTCCATCTTGTGATGATAATTGTCGATCAACATGTATGAGAAGAGATCCCTTTTCCCGAGAACTAACACCACATGGTTGACCCGTAAGGACAGTCAGACGGTGTTCCGCATCCTAAAATATGCAAATTTTATTAGAATTACATGTCATAATAGGTTGGCATACTTACAACGCCTAATCTATTGTTATTGGCCAAAGTTATTTAGCGTAATCTATTACATTTTTGCCCGTAATTCCATAGCGTAATCGAATTTTTTGTGACTGGGATCGTGCCTAACACATTAATATTTTTTTGTGTCGTAATTTAGCTAAACTTTCGCGGAGTTTCGTGTCGTAATCGATGTTTTGATACCCCAATTCCTATTTACCTGTATAAAAGCAGCGGTGGGCGCAGGATAGATATTGGCAGCAAGGGGAAGGGCCCTGGATAATAGAGTGCAGATAGAAACGTTAGAATACGGAGTATAAACCTGTGGTATTTCCTCTCAAACATATACATGGCATTGATATCTGTGGAGAAATGGGTGATATTCGCCTCATCCTCATTCCCAATATCTGCCCTCAGCCGGAGGAAGATATTCGTGTGGTCGGCTGCCTGGGGGAGCAGCTCTACCTACAAAAAATTGAATTTAGAGTTTGTAGCCCAGGATTTGGGTGCTCAAAACTATAAAGTGGATGTCAGAAGGAGGAATAAAAAGGTTAAAATTATTTTTGCACACAAAAAATTGAACACTGGCCAAAAAAGCGGATTTTTGACTGAAAAATCATAAATGGAGTTCGTAATTTGCGATTTTAAAATTTTAAAAGGCTGGACAATGTTAAAAAGCTTTAAGAGAGCGATGACTGTATTAAAAATTGAGAAAAACAGTTTTTCAGCTTACTTCGAGCATATTTTGATGGTCGTTCGTCTGGTGGTAGAGGCGGATTGCCTAAAAAGCGTTTTTACGAATTTCTAGCGTTGCAAAAAATTCCTGACAAGGGAACCTCACGCGGACAGGGTGGAATTTCGAAAAACGCTCGCGGCTACCCCTAGGTAATCGACCATTGCGATCACGATGCGCGTGTCAGATTTTTCTGAATGCACCTGTGGACAGAGATACAGCACTTCCGGAAAATGCTGATTTGCATGCGAAAAATTAGCATCGAGGGATGGTTTATTAGGCTCTCCCATCACTATGGAATCACTGCGAAAATTGATGAAACCCCCATACTTTACCCAGGATAATCCCTTGTTCTTTTGAATTTTTTTTTTTCGAAAAAAATAGTCCCGACATCGATGCGGACGGCCATGCATCCTTTGGCACGCCAGAGAACAAAAATTTTTGGCTGTTTTTAAGAATCGTTGTCTGATCGACTGCACCAGAAAATCCACTGGCTCGTGCAAAAATCGACATCTAAAGATTTGGGTTTGATCCATTAACTGGTCTGGACTTGTGCCAAAATGCAAAAAGCAAAATAAAAAATCGTGAGGGGATCCGAACCCTCGTCAGTATCCTATCAAGCAAGTTGCTTACCACTCGACCATTCAACTGGTGATTCCATAGTGATGGGAGAGCCTAATAAACCATCCCTCGATGCTAATTTTTCGCATGCAAATCAGCATTTTCCGGAAGTGCTGTATCTCTGTCCACAGGTGCATTCAGAAAAATCTGACACGCGCATCGTGATCGCAATGGTCGATTACCTAGGGGTAGCCGCGAGCGTTTTTCGAAATTCCACCCTGTCCGCGTGAGGTTCCCTTGTGAGCCTTCTGAATCCTTATAAAAGCCATCTGGCTGCCAGACTACAAAATACACAAACTTACAGCGGTGACATTGGTTAACTGATTGCCATAGAAGAGAACGAAACGAGTCTCCACGGGCCCATCCACAATATCCAGCACTATTTGGAGGGATAGGGGCTGAAATCGAGGGTTCGTAGCTTGTAGTTGATAGCCCGTCTCAGTAGTTTAAACTGTGTAGTCTGCAGTTTACCCAAAAATAGCTAAAAAGATAACTTACCTCCTGTTTATCGGACCCCTCAATAACATACGCCCCGGCTCGATCGTTATACGTCACAAAATCAACCAATAATGGCAGGGAGGAGGCATTAAAGGCATTGTGAAGCTGAAATCGGTGATGCTTAATTCATATCACTGCAGATCAGGCCTCAAAATTTCTTAAAAATCAAATTTTTAAAGGCTTTGTTCTGATTTTTAACGTTATTTTTTGGATTTTTGCCCCTCGATCCTTAGCAATTGGTTTCCATGTCTGTTCTGAAAGCTGAATTCTCTAAAATGACTGGCAGTTAGTAAAAATTTAAAATTTATTTGGTCTATATCCTTCAGTCCCCCTTTAAAAGCCTTCATTACCTGTAAAAATTCGGCAAATTCCGCTTTGACGGTCCCATTTTTCGATTGGAACGATTGGGACTCGAATTTCTGGGCGGCTGGCCATTCGGGGAGTGGTGATCTGAAAAAATATCGGTTGTTTTAAAGGTAGTCCGCCAGGAAGATAATTTTTAGAAACGTAATTAAAATCAAAAACATATTAACACAGGTTGCCACGAAAAAATCTCAAAAATCGTAAACTATAAAAAACCAAATTTCATTTATTAAAAAAAATACTATGTATGAGTCATTTTCCGTTTCCTGCCATACCTCTTACTGTAGAGAGTAGCTTGTTGTCTCTCGGAATCGGCTTCAATCCGGAAATCGGTCACTCCAAACGGCGTCAATCTCTCGAAAAATGTCAGCTGAATTTTGTTCTTTTTATCGATTTTCTGCTCTAAATACCTCATATTCGGTTTGATTCCCCTTTTGTCCACCAAATCTCGGTGAGATTTGAGAGGGAATTTTCTCGCCGTTTCGGCCGGTGACTCCTACCTGAAAATTAGTTGTTTTAAAGGGACCGGGAAGCCTAATTTGCTATGGATTTTGGTACCCCGCCGTTCGCATCGTGTAAGCCACGCAGGCCACTTATCCGATTACGCCATGAAATCCTTACATTCAGGGAATCGACCAAAAACGTGATTTGCCTCGGTTCATCGTCTGGCAGTGGGTTGAAAATCGAGAGCGTTTTTCTGCAATAGGAAAGTTTTGTAAAAGAACTATAAAAACTTAAATTAATTAAATTAGTTATAAAAATAAGTATTTATTGAATTTCAAAGATTTCCCTTTTAATTCGGTATAAAGGCACTTGTAAGTGAAAATGCTATCTTTCTCCAATTTCGAAAATCCTCAAAAACCCAGCAAAGTTTCTGCCAATCTGTGTGTAAGAAGCCAATCCATTCTGGCCTCCCAGTCCCTTTAAAATCAAAGTTTGGCCTTCAGAGGATACTCCGACCACCAGCACATTGTATAAACAAATCCCTACTTTTCCGCCCCAATACTGAATACATCCATGGCTGGCATTAACAGATCGTCATCGGTTGTATGGCGGATCGCCTGGAGTAAAACGGTACGGTAAACGATTACGATAGGAAATTACCGATTTCACATTGGATTCTTCATTTTTATGAAGGGAGGCTATTAGCTTCCGCTGTTCTGAGACGATCGATTGGGAGGCATTTCGGAGTCTGAAAGAAGAGGAATTAGAGTGAGGAGAGAGTGAGAGTGAGAGAGAGAGAGTGAGAGAGAGTGAGAGAGAGTGAGAGAGAGAGAGAGAAAGAACGAGAGAGAGAGAGGGAGAGAGAGAGAGAGAGAGAGAGAGAGAGAGAGAGAGAGAGAGAGAGAGCGCGAGAGGTGTGAGAGAAAGGGTGAGAGTCAGGGAGAGAGATAGAGAGAGAAAGAAAGGAAATTCCGATACCTCATTAAATAATCATCCATTACATGCGGTTTACTCGTCCCTGTAATTCCATCGTGGTGTTGGAATAGTGCCAGATTCCTGAAAATGTGGTATTCTCTCTCCCTCTCTTGCTCTCTCTCTCTCTCTGTCTCTCTCTCTCTCTCTCTCACTCCCTCGATACCTCCGATGTGTCTGTAGATGATCGAGTCGGCTATTATCTCCTCCAATAACTTTCAATAGATCGAGGGAGCGGAGCTGGCCCTGGAAAAATTTAGAAAGATGGAAAAACTGGTCTAAAAATACCATCAAAATCCTCTCGGTCCTTTTGTGATGTGGTCGATGGGTGAAGTAGCCGGTCCACCATTTATTGTCACTTTGCGGGCGTTCTAAAAAATGTTTTTGCGATGCATTTCGGTTATTTGCATGCCATATTGCTCAAAAACCAAACTCTACAGCTTCTACCCTACAGAATTTTTTTTAAACGAGTACCAGGGTTGAAAAGCCGCTTCGCGACTTTTCAACCCTGGCCCCTCTGATCCCATCATTTTCTGCACTTTGCATAATTCTCGCGGTTTTTGATGACAAAAAATGAGAAACGCTACCTCTCTTCCCCTTTATATAGGCCACCACAACTTCCGGCGTATGCTAATTGTTTCCTAACAAAGAGGGTCCTGGATTTTTCAACAAAAACTTATTTTTAACGTCGAAAACAGCTAGTTTTTGAAAATTTTGTTAGTGTGCAGTCATCCCAAGGCCATTACGCACCTAATGACGTATCATACATACCCCTAACTACCCCCCTAATTGAGATACTACTGGAACACGCTGACGGAAGTTGCATGCAAAGTGGCACACACACACACACAGACACTATTTTTTTTATATTTTTAAACGAGTATTTCAGGCTTCTGGCTGGCAGAAGGCCCAAAAAAAACTCGAAAAAAATTAAATTTCCTCGATCTAAAATTTTCAAGGATAAATTTGGACTTTCTGCGTGCCAGTAAGCTTAACATAACCGGTTTTAAAATTCTAGGCAATCTACTGCTTTTTACCGACCTAAATACGGAAAGAAATCGCCAGTTAGTGTCGGCAATTTCTCCTCCTTATTTAGCGAATTGAAGTATTCGGTTACTGTAGAGAAATGCACCTGGAAAGGAGGGAGAAATTGTTATAATCTAAAAAATCACCTTAATACCGTAATCCCCCTGATTGATGATATCAATGAGGGTTCCCCAGGATTTAGCAACAACATCCCAATCTCTTTTATCTGGTAGGTAGAAATCATCACCGATTGGCATTAGAATCTGGAAAAACAGGGAATTTCTCTCTCTCTATCTCTCTCTCTCTCTCCCTCTCTCTCTCTCTCTCTCCTACCTGATCCAATGCATAGACATCTCTAGTAATTCGCCATTGTTGCACCAGTTGATCGGCGCTAAAAAGCCGATTTTTATTTTTATTAAAGGTACATTTTATACATTTTTATTTATGCATACATTTTGTTAAAGGTATAGCTCTTTGACTTACTATTTCTTCATAGCCCCAGCCACCCCAAGATGACGATCAATCCCTCCAGGACACGCATAATAGGAGACGGAAGGTCCCACCTGGCCCTGGCAACAGATCTGGAAGGTGTACGTTGCACAACTTGGCCGTTAGGCGCGTTAAAGTCTATACTGACAGCCAGGCAAGCAAAATCAACTAAAAACAAACCGATTCATCGGGTCCACAGGCATTCCTTGTAGTGTAGTAGAGGTAGGGGAGTGTATGGACAGTGGGGGCATCCATTATCTGTCCCCCTCCTCCCCATGGTTGTATCCATTTCCATTGTAAATGATGCTCTTTTCGTAGTTTGTCTTTCAGGGCATCATTTAGACGACCGACTACCATATTGTCGATTCCTGGAAAGAAATTGCTATTTTTAGCTTTTTCTCGCTCGAAAGCAAGTTTAAAACTGGATTTAAAAAACCAAAAATTCATTTAGAACCGACCAGAAAGTCGATTAAGAAGTGGCATCATTAAGCCATGGCCAAACGGATCGACTGACCTGAAAAAAGAGCACAAAATGAAGGATTTCGGAATCGTACACGCTATGTAATTCACGCACTGCTATTTCCAGACCTTTTAAGCTCATTTTTAAGTAAACTGTACGCCAGGCAGCAAAATACAACATCGATATTCGCCAGTGTCTACCGAAAAAACTTACCAGCTGGTAACGGGCGTAACATTGAGTAGTTTATGGATAAATGACTGTCCCTCGACCATATTATCGATTGTTGAGTGGAAATGAGGGGTGGCTTCGTCTGAAAATATATTAGTTTGAATTTTGGACGTCAAAAATGCCCACAAAATACAAATAACGAACCCGTCATCACCCATCCGCCACCACACAACTCGATACGACCCTCGGCGAGCAGGCTGAAATTGGTTTGGTAGAAAATTCAGGACTGCAGAATGAAAACTTTTTAGCTCGGCTACAAACTACAAAAATTAAAAAATGCTCAAATTCAGCATTTTTTGCAAAAATCCTCGTTTTCTTTGCTTTGTTTTGGGGGTTTTGTAGTTTGACTTTACTTTTATGGCTTTTTAAAGGGACAGAAAATATGTATTTAAAATTTCTAGCGGGGCTACAAACTACAAAAGAGGTAAAATTAAGCTACAAATTAACGTAATTTCTCGCCGAAATTCACCCTTTCTAGGTCAAAATACGTTGGAAAAGCTTTTTGGCGCTTTTAAAAGCTCTAGCACGGAAAGAATAATACGTTTTAGATAGGCTACAAACTACAAAATGCCAAAAGAGTCGGAATGAGGGTATTTAATAGCCGAAATCCGCTTTTTGGAGGCCAAAGTTACCTGGTAAAGTTGTCCTTATGCTGTTGAGAAGCATCAATCCACCATCTCTCGAGAAAAGACATTTCAGACCAGATAAAACGAAGAGAAGCATGACGAGACAATCCCTCGACTGCACCTTCGAGGATTGAACGCACTTTCTCGCGGTAGTATTCCTCAAATGTACGCAGCCAGCCTACAAAAGAGCATCATTTACCGATTAAACGTCGGAGTGGATGGCAACTAAAGCGTCAAGAAGTTTATAAACTTTAGAAGGGTCTTGTACTCGAAAAGTCCTAAAATTTAACGATTTTTTCACGAAAAATCCGTATTTTTTGATACAAAACTCGGAAAAATGCTCCATTGGCTCGGAAAATTGAGCTAAACTACTAAAACTAACATTTTAAAACATATAAAACCATTATCTAGTTGTTAATGACACTATTTGTGGTCATTTATAAACGTTAAAGTACCTGAGATACCGGAATGAGTTTTTTTTTGGTAAAAAACCCCCGAAATTATCGATTTGTCGAATTATGAGCCTTCTTAAGGCAAAAGTGGCAAAATTCCCCAATTTCTCAGAAAACCTAGCTTCACTAAAAAAGTTAAACGTTTAAAACTCTAAAAACGCCTACCAGGATCAATATGTGAGTGTAGAAGTAGATGGACGGTGAAGGGCTTTTGGAGGATCGTTTCCCTCCTGCCATGCGTTGATAAATTATGCCCATTTACCTAGAGAAACTTTGTAAACACTTTTAATGCACGAAATCCATACCCATATATCAGATTTTGACAACTTCAGCTCCTTGAAGAGATTTGGATCATCTTTTTCTTGGGTTTCTGCTTCGATTTGCCCTTTTTCTTCTTTTTCGGGTTCCTTTTTCTGTTCTTCCAGCATTGCTATATCCTTTTCCTCTTCTTCTTCCTCTTTTTCATCTCCAATTCCATCATCTATCACTTCTTCGACGATTTTTCTGGGCCCAGAATTACCATTTACGGGCTGGATCCGCTTAAAAATCGTTGAAAAGTTGATTTTAGACTTTCTAAAACGGTTTTTTCTCAAAACGTACCCGATTATAAATAGACTTAGTCCTGGGTTGTTGTTGAGTATTATTGCGTAGTTGAGAATAGAGTACTATCAATAGAAATAGAACCAAGATAAGCAGGGGAAAATTTGTGGGGGAACGGGACGGGCGCACGCTGGATAACCATCGCATCTGAAGCATTTTTCGAAATTATTTTGAGAGATCAGGGCAAACTGGCAGAGATTCTTATGGAAATGGGTAACCTGGATGCAAGAAAAGATCAAGGCAAACTAGCAGAGATTCTTTGAAAAATTACATTTTCCACACGCGCTAAAAACGAAGTATTTTTAATCTTTGGCACTGAAAAAAAATCGATATATCTCTTTAGAAAACTGGAAAAACTGGATAACATACTAAAAAACGGCCAACCAAACGGGGCCGATGGCGCTCCGTAAAATCCACGAAAATGGGTAATTTTTTAGAAAAAGAAGAAGAAGAAGAAGAAGAAGCTAACGCCCGATTTGCCATGGATACAGAAAAAGGGCGACCTCGGCGCCGTGTTTTTCAATCTCTTCCCTAGATTCTTTGAAAAAATGGCTGTGAATTTGGGAATATTCGAGGTCTATTTTAATAATTGCTTTTCAAAAAAACGATTAACTATTGAATTTTGAAAGATTTTGCTTAGTTTGTTGACAATTTCCGATCGTTATCAATTAATTTAGGCTTGAAAATAACCCAAGACTCATAAAAAAGCTAAAAATCGTTATTTATGTCCAATTTAATTTTAATTTAATTTATTTGCGCAGCGAGTAACAATTATAGCCAGTTTTTGACAAGATAAACCGATTAAAATTGCGCCCATTTTATCAATTTAGATACTTTTCGCTCTTTAGAATCGATAATCCTACTATATATAAAAAAATAGTGTTTGTGTGTGTGTGTGTGTGCCACTTTGCATCCACTTCCGTCTGTCTGTCCGGAGGATATCTCAAGAGGCGAGGGGTGATAAGCTACGTATGATACGTCATTAGGTGCGTAAGGGTCTAGGGATGACTGCGCACATATCAGATTTTTAAAAATTAGCCATTTTCGCTATTAAATTTAGGTTTTTGTAAAAACCTCTTTGTTAGGAATAATTAGCATAGACCGGAAGTGGGCCGTCGCCTATATAAAGAGGCAGAAAGGGTTGTTTTTCATTTTTTGTCTTCTGAATCGAGGACAATTATGCAAAGGGTCGAATAGTATGGGGTCCGAGACGGGGCCAGGGTTGAAAAGTCGCGAAGCGGCTTTACAACCATGGTATGTTTTAAAACTCGAAAAAAGCTCCAAACTAGTATTTGAGCCCGTTTTTAGCTATCCGTTTCAAATTCCAGCCGATAAATCGTTGCAAAATAGTGCTCGTGTGCTTCTGATCGTTGCTGCGGGATCATGCTCTTCCCCCCTCGCCCTCCCCATACCCCCGATTTGCCACAACGAAAAGCCCCCCATCCCAGGCGAGTGCCCGGAAATACTCTCACACACTCAATGACACACACCACACATCGATTGTGACCATTATATATTGGAATGGATGGCCGTGAGAGGAAGAGTAGATGAGCATCAAATACAGATTAGAAAGGTCTTCCGCACAATATCCCACGTTTTCGTGCAAAAACTGACGCAAAATTTCCTGGTAAGCTGGATGCCCGGAAATCACGGAAGTCAACGTAAAAATTAATAAATCCCGGAAATCCAGAATGATAACGTCCACCGCCAGCCAGTAGGTTTATTTAGCCGTTTTTTCAAATTTATAATTAAGTAAATATTTATTTTTCGAGGGCAGGGCTGTGCAAAACCGAGGAAAATTCAAGTTTCTCCGTTGGTTGGCCGGAAAAAGGCTTGCAAAACACGGGAAGTGATTTTTTTAGTACATTGCTGTGTAAATTTCATGAATCCTCTATTTTTTTACCAAAATAAAAAACACCTACTACTCTCTATTTTGTTTCAAGGTTCCAGAAAAGACTATAATTTAGTTTTACTCTTATCGAATAGCTAGTTTTTGAAGTTGTATTTTATGATAGTTAAAAATGAAATTAAAAGTACAAAAATAAGCATCCGAGGAACTTGATTGTTACTTTCAACAATTCAGCTTTTTACAGCTTGTTAGAATTCTTGAAAAGCCTGCAGTCTTCAAAAGAGACGTCAAAGTCCTAAAAATTACGTTTTTTCAGATTTGCGCTTCTAATGGGAAGCTTTTAGAGGCCAAAAAAAACCCCGAAATGATGAAAATGAAAGCGCTACGATCGAAAGAAGATGTTCACATTCCCATTCGGCGAAAATGGTCAATTCCTATAGAAGGAATAGAAGGGGCCTTTGACGGGGCAAAAACCATACAGGGGGTAGGCGAGGGGGGGTTTGTCCAGCTGTGGAGAAGAGCGAAGGGAGGGGCTAATAGAATAGAATAGATGATACAATTCCTCTCTATACAAATCCATAATCCACAGCCCAGGGGTCGAATAATGTTACGAATATCACGCAAAACCCTTTTTTACGTCAAAAACTACACCAGGAATTGAATGTTATACTTTTTATCCTGAGCCTTAGCAAATTTAAACCCATTGCGTTTTTCTATGGGTTTTATTAATGATTTTAAGCTGAGAAATCGTCTAAACGAGACTATTAAACGTTATTATCGGCCTGATTTTTAGCCTATAATCGATTAGTTACAGAAAATAAGCCTTTTCAAAGCTTTCATAACCTATTTACCAGCCAGAAATACGTTTTTAAAAATAGTAGCGTAAATATTAATATTTCTTCGAATAAATCGAACCCAAAACGGAGAAATCTGCTGAAAAGTGCGTTGAATGGTGACGAATGGTATTTGAGAAGAAGTGTTGGCATAGGCCATTCCTTATCTCGTTTTCTATCCATAAACCAGCAGAAAGAGAAGAACGAGAGGCCATACGAATTGGATATACCATTTTGTCATATTGAACGCTTACATCAAAAAGTCACTGGTAAAAAAGCATAGAATTAGCTTGATTAGGCCATTATTTTCATTTTTATCGCATTAAAAGCTGTTTTTTTCTATCTATTCTTATAGCGCCACGCTTTAAAAGATACATTAACAACCAACAGGATAAAAATTCGCGATTTTCCGGAAAAAGCCGCTCAGCACTCATGGCCAATTGGTAAAGCTCTCGCTTCCCACCCACGCGACCCGGGTTCGACCCCCGCCCGGCGCGAAGCTTTTTGCTTTTTGCCGAATAAAAAGTAGATTCTCGCCTATCGGGTTAAGCGGTAATAATTATTTTCCTCGTTTTTGTAGAGATTTTTACCAATAAAAGCGCCGGTTTTCTGAAAAATCGTTATAATTTTTTCATAGAAAGTGGTGTTCTATATAAAGTAGTAATTTGAAGGAATGGAAGTTAGAACGTGAGAAAAACAGCTCTATTTCCCCAGATACATCAATGCAGACAACTCTCAATAAATTCGCCCGGCTGGCCGAGTGGAAGCCAATTTTATGATGTGACACACACCCACACACAGACACACAGATTGCAATGGCTATTTCGAGCTCTCTTTTTGGCTATTTCGCTACTATCCATTGGATCTATCTGTTTCGGCTTTATTCTGTGTATTTTGGAGGCTCAACTTTCGCACTAAAATCTTTCTTACCGGGCAGTTTATCATCAGTGATTAATTAATTGGCAGAATCTCATGGAAAAGCTCGAGAAAATGAGAGAGAGAGAGAGAGAGAGAGAGAGAGAGAGAGAGAGAGAGAGAGAGAGAGGAAGAGAGCGCGAGGAAGAGAGAGAGAGAGAGAGAGAGAGAGAGAGAGAGAGAGAGAGAGAGAGAGAGAGAGTAAACGAGGAAAAAACCCTGTGCAAATGGAGTAAAATTATTGGCGAGGAGCTTTGAGATATTAGAAGAAATTCACGGATAAAAAATAAATCTCGGGCTAATAAAAGTTGAAGAAATAGAAGGGGAAAAGACAAATTAATAAAGTCTAATCAAGCTGTCCAATGGGGGCATTTTTGAGCCAGATGTCGTGGAGGAAGATGTACAGACGCTCCGAGACAGAGACCTGAACAGAAAAATTCAAATATCTCTTTTTCACTGGCTATCCCTCTCTCTCTCTCTCTCTCTCTTTCTCTCTCTCTCTCCCTCCCCTACCTTATATGGTGTGGGATTGAGCTGTCTCTTGTGATCATTCCTTAGATGTTCCAACTCCTTTTGAACATGCTCCTAAAGGAAAACTTGAGAGTAAACATTTGCGGTAGAATAAAAGCTATAGATTCTGCCACAACGCGACATGTAACGCACACGTTTCCATTACGTAATCGATTATGACATGTTAATACATACGTAAATTGCGTGCGCGTTGCGTATCGTGTCGCGGCAGAATTAATAAGTACGACTTGCCGGTTCCTTTAAAACCAGTCTAAAAATAGCAACAAACCTTAACCAGCTGCAATGTAGGCAACTTTTGCTGTATTTTCCCATCAGCCCAAAAGACGTGGTGAAGAGGTTCGACACGAGACGGAAGTACCATCGCTCGTTTGCTTTCCTGAAGAAATTGTCATTTTTGAGAAATATCACTTTTTATTGATTTTTCCATTCTAATGTTAATTTTCCCTGATACATGTTAATTAAATTAGTTATTAAAAGATAAAGCTATACGCTGTAAAATCTTAAAAAAACCCACTTCAAAAGGATGCCTGCATTGCATTTGTTTGTTGACTTCCGGTGCGGCTTCATCGAACAGCTGGAGGATATCCAGGATCGCGTACCCGGCCTTACCGTATACCCTGAAAAAAGCTGGGTTTGAACTTGTTAACAAAAATGAAGGCTAAAACGTCTTTCAAAAGTTTCCAAAAGTTTGACACCTCTGGTTTTAAACTTTTTATCATTTTGAAGCGTTGATTTGTTAACGGCGCCTATGATTACCGTAAAAATTTAACAAGACAGAAATTTTCTCTTATTTATACCGAAAATTGAGGCTAAAAAGTAAAACAAAATAACTTTTGTGCGAATTTCCAGTTTGAAAAATTTGGAATTTGGCCAATTTTCGATTTTGTTGCATTGGTAATGATTATTGGAATACAGTTCGCTTAATTATCGATTAAATACAGAAATTTAAGCAAAAAAAAAATCACGATTCTAGTCAGAAAAGCCTAAAAAACGCTCGATCCGCCCACCTATAAGCCATTTTCCGGCCAGGAATCGATATTTTGGCGACTTCCTGTGATAGCTTGATCTTCGCCGCATTTCCCACAGTTACCAACTGAAGGTATGAATGATTGTATCAATTTCGATCGATACCTTATAAACACACCCCAATGCGGGTTGTTTCTGACAAGTAACAAGATGTGTCCCCACTCCAAATGAATCTATTTCATGTTTTTGTTCATTTAGAGAGAGAATTGTCTCTTCGTTGATATCATTTGAAGCCACGATAGTCATGGTGGAGAGGAAGGAGAGCGTTGATTCGTCACTGAAAATCGATCCATAACTGGGCTGGATTTTGCTGAAGTTTTGAAAATGGCCCTTGCTTTTGTGAAATTGGGCTATTTGTGTGGCAGTTTAGCGTTTCAGGCGTTTAACGTTGGCCGAAACCTATTTTAAAGAACCAAGGCATAAACACGTTGTCTGGTTGTCAGATTGGCGAAAGAAGCTCGAAAATAACATTTTCTATTTTCTACACTTCGCGAATTTTCGTAAAATTGGGCTATCTGGATGGCAGTTTCGAGTTGAAAATGGATTAGTTTCCCTTTGAAAGTTAGTTATACGAAGCCTGGACGCCATAAATGGGATGGCTGGCTGTCAGATAGGTGATAAATCGTCAAAAATTGCTCTATATATCTTGCGAATTAGCAATTTTCCCTATAAATGGCTTGTTTTTTGGTGCCATTGAAGCCATATTTCTAGCTATATAAATAGACTTACAGTGCAGCGACAGCCTTAAGTCGTTGTCTAACTTCCTTTGATAGATATGACAAATCTCCAGAATCAATTCGACATCCAATTGGGGTATATCCACATTCATTCAATGCCATACATACCGCCACGAAATTCACCACGCCTGACCTGCAAATTTAAACTGTTTAAAAAATCTCCAAAAAATTGAATTTTTGCGATTTCACTGATTTTAAAGGGGCCGGCAAGGCATAGCTGTGGTATCAGGTATCCACGACGCGGCACACAACGGACGCCAGGATTTCTATGGCGTAATCGATTACGAGATATTTACGGCCGCACGGCCTTTCATTGCGTAATGGAATACGACATCTTTATGCTGGCTAAGCGACACGTTCGCGCTGCGTGTCGACCCACCTCAACACATCATAAGTATCGATGAGGGCGAGGAATGATTGTGGAAATGAGATGGCATAAGCCACAAATGCACACAGCTCTCCTTCACTTAATTCACTTCCCGAGACACCCCACGACAGCTGAAAAATGGCGGATAGATTACTGGGTTCTTTGGCATTATCGAGGGGGTGAGTTTTTTGTATCAGCTAGAAATGTCTAGTAACTCGATAGTAAGTATTTTAATAAAATATGACTATGTTTCGACTAGAAAAACTGCTAGAAACTCGCCAAAATTTTGACATTTTGTGAAAAATCGATATCCTGCATGTTTTACGTTGAGGAAGAGTAAAAACTCTTTAAAAACACTATCTAGCTTTGAAAAATCGGATTCTTTGTAAAACGGTGCCCTCTCCCCCTGATAATGCGAAATAACCGATAATAGATAACAGTTCTCTCTCTGTCTCTCTCTCTCTCACTCTCTCGCTCTCTCTGCCCACCTTTTCCATGATAATGTCCCTCTTCTTGACGGCCAATTCATACAAATCCACCGTATCCCCATTTTTCGCGGTCAATTCCCGGACTCGAAGATCGGAGGCCTGAAATTGCGGTTTTGAAACTTTCGCAAATTAGGAAATACTAAGTTCAGCAATTTAAATTAAATTAAATAATAGAAAATATATCTATCAATTTTTTACTAATTTAAAAACAGTCTAAAACCCCAAACCTGCGAGAACGCCGAGATGAAAGAATGTGCTTGCGTCCCTTTCACCGGAATTCCGAACAATTTCCCCGCCAAAACATTTGAGGTCCCGTCAAATCCTGGAAAAAATTGGATGTTAGAAAATCCCTAAAAATTGGCCTAGGAGCTCTAAAATTACCAGAAATTGACGAACCTCCAATATAGCAATACTTCGAAGCAGCCAAGCCACCATTTGGCCCTTGGGCACGACGGAGGCCGAATTCGAGCAGGTTGATCTTTGGACCGGCTGCCTGGAAATTGTTGTTGCCTACAGTTGTAGTCTGTAATTTGTAGTTTACAAAATTTTTAGGGAAAGCAGCAGACTTCTCCCGATTTCGTATGGATTTTTCCGCTACGCGACACGAAGGGAGAGACGCAACGGTCTGTCGTTTCGTGTCGCGCGCGGAAAAATAGTCTAGTTTTTTTCGAAGAGGAACCTATTGCTAAGCTGATTTTACCATTGTTTAACGTCAAAACTAGTACAAAATATGAAAAATACAAAAATATGGATTTTCGATAATAAATCCTCAATTTTCCGGTACAAAATTTCAAAATTTTTCCGATTTTCAAGCATTTTAAAACTTTCTTTACAGGTTTTTTCCAGTGAAAATATCGCTTAAAAATTATACTTTGTATTTTGTACTATTCCTAGAGCGAGAAACTTCACAATTCTATCAAAAATCCAAAACATTACGATTTTCAACCAAAATTTCAGATTTTGCCCTAATTTTAACGTTTTTAAAATTGTTTCCCACTTGGAATTAGCGAAAAAGATTCTTAAAAAGTGCTTACCAATCGGAACCGGGCGGCATTGGTGGCAACAAGTGAAGAATAATTGACAAGATTGAGTAGAGTAGTCTCTAATAACTGACAAATAGCCAATGGACCAGAGACTGATAGAAGAGGAATCTTTGGGAAGACGAGAGATCCCTCTTTCACAGCATGGATTGTCAGGGAAGAACAGTCCAATGCCTCCAAATAGTCGAAGAATGATGGCTCGGCATGGGGCAGAAGGGTACGGATGTACGAGATGTCTGGAAACGCATATCGAAAACATACGAAATTTTGTTGAATTCCTATTTCTAAAAAATTACTTTGAAGCTAAAATTTCAATTTTTGAAATTTTTGAAATTTCGAAAAATAAAATTTACATTCAGGTTTTTAATCTTTAATCCATAGTTAATTAGCGTTAATCCTTTAAAAATGATGGCTATTGAATCTCCTTTTTTCCTACATTTTTAGCGTAGAAAAAGTGGTTTTTAGCCTAAAATTCGAAAAACCAGACCAATTCTAGAAAATTCAACATTTCTATTAGACTTTAAATCTCGTCAAAATATCATTTAAAAGCCGTATAAAATACTTTTAATTGCAAAAAGCGTATTTAGACAAAAGAAATCCACCCACCTGATTCGGAGAATCGGAAACTCTCAACAAATCGAAGGCAATCCTCGAGACCGGCGAATATCGTGAATTCACCCTGAATTTTTACAATATTTTTATTTCCTTAGCAAACCCACGTGAAAAGGGTTCTTTCTAAAGAACAGATCAAAGACAGCCGGTTCATCCTGAATCTTCGATTTCCAATAGCTGTATGTCATGGATATTTGATAGAAATCGGTGAGGAGGGGTTGTACGAGACTGTCCTGGCCATTTACATGAAGCCCATTTTTGTCGCCATCTGAGTCCACGGACATCACTAAAATACGGCATTAGATAGTCCAGTTTTAACTAAAATTATTCTTAAAGCTTTTCGATCAAAATATTATTAAAATTCAGGGCTTGAATAGCTCAAAAATCGACTTGCCAAATTAGTTTTATCTGTTTAGCTCCCGACAAATCGCTTCTGAAGTCATTTTAGACGAATCACGCGTAAAATTCTAGGGCTCAAAAACCAACAAAATGCGTTCAAAATTAGTTCTACCACTAAAAATAACCGTCAGGTTAATTGGGCCAAATTGAGCGTAAAATTTGAGCTTAAACGGTCAAAAAACGCGTTAGAAATCCGCTTTAAAGAAATAAAATAGTTTCTAAAGGCATTTACCTAACTTTCCCGGAAAATCTGCGCCTAAAAAATAAAATCCTTTAAAATTCAGTTCCATCCCCCATAAATAACTACGAAAACTGACTCGGCTAAATTTCGCGTAAAACTCGCGCTTCTAAAGGCAAAACATGCTCTATAATAGCGCTCAAAAGATCAATAAAAATGGATAGAAATCTGTTGATTCAACCCGAAGGAGACTGAGTGAGAGTTGTTTACAAGTCTGGACGGCGTTTCTTAGAAAGAGTGAGAGAGAGACAAGGTTGATGGATTGATTGTTTCGAAGAGAACTGGGAGGAGAAGCAGAAGAGGAAAAGCAGAAGAGAAGAAGCACTACATCCCCATCCACTCCATTACACGGCGTAATCTATTCTGGAGCGCGGGCTCATTCTCGAAAATAAAAGTAATTCCCACGACTTCATACTTGAAAATCGCTAAAACTTTACATTTTTTAGCTAATTTTAGGATAGAAATGAAGTTAATGGTTTCTATATAAATTCTAAAAGCAAAAACTATCTATATAGAAGGAATTCCGGCTATTTTTGACCGGAAAATCGTTTCCATCTAAAGTTTTTATTTAATTTTTCGATCGAAATGAAGCTAATATCTTATTGAATGTCAAACTTGGATAAAAATTACCTCTTGGATGTAGAAAGGCCATTTTTCAAAGGTTTCAAACCCAAATTCAAATTCGGCTGCGACAGGGGTCAGAGGGCAGAATAATGGAATGTGTCGGGGGATGGGAATGGATAGAGAGAGAGTGATAGAGAGGGAGAGAGCAGAGAGAAACAGACAGATAGCGAATAGGAACGGCTAATCGGATTACACCACGAATTGGGCATATCAATCGAGAGACAGAGAAGGAGAGAGAGAGAGAAAGAGAGAGAGAGACAGCCATCAAACAACAACAATAATATTCGGCATTTCAGTGATGGGGAGGGCAGGACACATTCGATTTGATAGCGCCGGAAGTTGACCTGGAACTTCTCAAAAAAAAAATCCATAAATAAGTGTTTTTGGGTACTGTTCTGCTAGCGGGGGGACTAAAAGTGGCCGATTGTACCTTAGGGTGCCTATAATAATATACACGCTTTTTTATAGTTTCTACGCAATTTTTAAGTACAAAAATGACGCAAAAATGATCGAAATCTTCCAAAAATTTTGAATTTTGCTGAAAAACCCTGGAAAATTACTAAAAAGCCACAATTTCAAATGCTTCTAGTTTAGAAAAAGCCAAGTTTAGAAAGCCTTTTTAGTAATAAAAACGTTCAAAACGCTGGAAAAAGCTATAACAAATAAAAAAACCTTCAGAATTTTGACGTTTTTTTCGCCAGAAATGTCCGGAAAATGGCCAAAACCGTCAAAATCCCCCATTAACGCATCAGAGCCACCAAAACAATCCGTACAACGTATAATCTATAAAGTTTTCAAAACGCGCTTGAGCTTTGTCGCAATAAAAACTGTTTGAAAAAGCTTTAAAAAAAACGGCAAAACCCGTAAAATTTTGAAATTTTTGGCCAGAAACGTAAGGCAGGTCGTAAAAACTGAAAATCCCCACCACCGTTAACGCACCAGCACCACCAAAACAATCCGCTCAACGTATTCTGTATGTTCTCGTATTTTCCATCCTCCACAGACTGATAAAACGTTTATGAACAATGTAAAAGCAAAATCAACAACAAATAAATGACAAATGAATCCGAACAACAAAAATGATCTTTAATTGATGGATGAAGGAGACGCCAGAGCTGCTATCGCCGCATCCGCCTGAAAATACGAATTAATAAAATAAAGAAAACGTAATAATGTAATGTATAATAATAAATAACGCAAATAAAAATACGGACCGCTCTCTTCTTGGTTTGTATGTGGTGAATCTCGGCGGCGTATCGTGCCTGCAGCTCGGTGAATTCTTTCGTCTTGGCGAATAGCTCTTTCTCCAGCCTCAGCGACTCTTCCTTCTTCGCCAATAGCATCTCAGTCTAAAAATTTGATATATTATTGGGCGTCAAATCAAATCAAAAAATGTAACAATTAAATCAACATTAAAATTAAAAGTTAAAATTTACAATGAAATAAAATTTAAAATTATTACAAAATTCAATAAATTTTGAATTTAAATGGCTTTCAAAATTAGATATATTATTCGGCTTATTTTTAAAATGACCGATTTTGGGTTCGTTGGCATTATCGGGGGTCTATAAATCCCGAAATGCCTAGTAACTTAAAAGTAAGAGTTTAATAGTGTTTTTAGCAAAATTCAGCCATATTTTAAGTGGAAAAACAATAAAACAACGTAAGAACAAATTTTTAGATAATAAAATCAACAACTGACCCTCTGATATTCATTGGCTAAGAGGCTTCCCGGCTGTGGCTGCGTAGAAGACGTGGATGATTTTGGAGAGGCGTCCGGCAATCGACCGCCCAACACGGGCTTTGTCTCCACAATTTTTGGCGGCGGGGACGGGATCTAGAAATATAGCATAAATTTGGAAATTGATATAAATCTACCGTTTGTTGTTGCAGAGGGGCTGAGAAGGTGGCCGGTGGATGAGTTGTGACTGTCTAAAATACGAATTTTATGGATATTCATAGAGAAAAAAAGGCGCTTTGCATTACCGGGGGGGGGGGGGGATTTGTCCTTTGGATCCGATTTTTTCGAATATAAATCGAGGAATTGTTTCAAAATTGTTTTGTACTATTATACACTAGGTTCGGAAATAGTAAAATAACATAAATAAATAGAAAATAAACAAAATGCCGAGTTTTCGACCAAAATTTCTCTATTTTGAAAACTTTGTAACGAAAATTTTGTAATTTACTGTATTCCGCTACTAGGAATTTCTAGACGTAATTTTTCGCCCCCCCGATAAAGCAAAAGGATCTAAAAAATTACCGCTGGAGTGGTGGTTGACGTTGAGGGCCCGGGCGGCGGAGATGACAACGCGGCAACGCTCTCGCCCTTCCCACTAAACATACCAAAAACATCAATCAAATACGTTAAACCGAACATTTTGTTGGAATCGGCGTTGTGGAGGATGTCTCTTAGAGGCTCGGCGATCGTCCCCACCGTTGTTGCACTAGCACTCGGCTGCCTAAATCATATTTTAGAGAATCTTGCTCTCAAACCACTGACCGATTCAGCACCCACAGATTCTGACGCTCTTGGTTTTGTCGCTTCTCGAGATTTGCCTGGACATCCGCCTGAAAAAACAGGTGAAAAGACGATTTTTTTTGGTTCTTTTGCATTATCGGCGGGATGAAATTTTCTGCATTTCTAGAAATGTCTAGTAACTTAATATACAGTGTCTTCTTAGTGTTTCTAGTAAAAATAACTATATTCAAATTCGAAAAGCACCTAAAAACTTAGAAAAATTAAAGGGCTGCCGACGGCATCGAAATTTCGATCAAAAACCGGCCAATCTTGGTCGAAAAATCTGTCTTTTAAAAAAAATTTGCATAGTTTTTAAGCGTAGAACTAGTAAAAAACAGTTTAGAAAGACTTCCGCTTTACAAAAACTAAAAAGCTACTACACTAAAAATTAAAAAAAGCGAGCTTTCGGGCGAGAAATCGGTATTTTCGTATTCTTAAGCACAATGTTTAGTTTTGACCCTTAGAAATCTTAAAAACACTTCCTCTGATTATATAAAAAAACCCTATGCCTAGAAAAAGTTGCTCCCCCCGATAATGCACAAGAACCAAGTTTTTATAAAAAAGTAAACGGTAAGTCAGTTGGCAGTAAAAAGAGAAAACAAAAAAATTACCCTTCTGCCCTTGGCCTCGAACTGCCTCACCAAATCGCCCGTGCTCCTCGCCGGCAATCCCGATCTCTTGACAGCACCTAGAAAAGATTGTTATCAACAAAATATAAAGCTCGAAACCTGGCTTCTTCTTCATGGGTGTCGCCAGTTTTGCGGTCGTCTTTTTGCCGGCAGCCGCTGTCGATGTCGAGGCAATCTAACTCAAAACATATGCAAATCATCGAAAAACTGACTGGCTGGCTGAACTTCTTGGCGCCCTTTTGGGTGAATGGGCCATTTGGAGGGGCTTTGTTCTTCTTTCCGACACTTCCGCTTGTCGAAGGCCTATCCTCCGATTGTAGTTTGCTTGTGCTCGCCGCCATCGGTTGCCTAGGGTAAAAGACCTTCCGAATTCCTACAAACAATACAAAAAAAAATCAAATTTATCGACTAAAATACCTTTTTCATTAAATTTACTAAAAAAGGCCCCCGATAACGCGAAAGTGCCAAAACAATAGCTACATTGTAGAAAACTGCTAATAAAATACTTACTATTCTACCAGAACCAGAGGACCACCAACCCCCCGATAACGCAAAAGTACCAAAAATTCGTATTTTAGACAAATTCAAGATAAAAGTTAAGAATAAGAAAAAGGATATTACCTCGAAATCGCAATTAAAAGCCCAAAAAGGGAAGTGTACATTTGCGGACAATTGAGTGGCCATAGAAAAGACCCCACAAATATTAGCCGACAAATGGGAATGATGATGTTTCGTAATGTTAATACTGACAATACGGAAGTGGAGGGAAGTGTAGAAGAAGAAGACAGCGTTGGATGGAGAACGACGCTCGGCTGAGGGATTGGCGGTGGGCGACTTGGGTCGAAATCCGACGGCAGCTTCGTGTCCGAAAATCTAAAAAAGAACATTGTATATGGCGCGCTACTTTTGCATTATCGGGGGGTGGCAATTTTCCCTAGAATGCAATGCCCATTAACGCAACAATGATTTAATCGTGTTTTTATAGACTTTAACTATATTTTAAGTGGAAAAACAATAATAATAAAGTTAGGGATTTTTTAGGGGAAATTTTGGTAGAAAATCGGCCACTCTGGATCGAAAACTCGAGATTTTTTGCTTTTAGGAATAGTAAAACAGCTGAGAAACACTTCATCGATTTATCACAGAAAAAACAGGTCCTTAACCCCCCCGATAATGCAAAAGAACTAAAAACTGACCCGCTGCTTGGTGCTTTGAAGTAGCGCTGCTGGGCGCGTGGATTGTGCCATGGCATCGACGCCGTATCCGAGAAATCACGCTGTCGATAGGGCGGAGGGCGACGGGCCGGCATTTGCTGGTCTTCTATTGGCTAAAGATAGGGATAAATAAAACAGAAGAAAGAGATAGGAAACCTGAATGGGTGTCTGCCTGCGGAAGTCAAAGTCGCGGCGCTCCATCGAAGGCCCGAAATTGCTCGCGTAGGCTGATCGGCCCTAAATATTCAATACCGTCTTGAGTGAAAAAGAAGGATCTAGTCTGTTAGCGGGGGTAGATTTCGTGCCATTTTCAAGCATAACTCGCTCAGAAAATTCAATAAAACACGTCAGAAATTTCGAATCTTACTAACAAAACAGTGGAAAACATAAAAAAACAATTTTTCAATTTCTTAAATCTTTTTACGACTTTATAGTGCTCAAAAACTACTGGAAAAATCTCAAGCGCACTAAAAGGCCCAAAAAGAATTCGAAAAAAGCATATAGAGCTCCGAAATTTATCAAAGACTTCAAAAAATGGAATTTTTGCGTAGAAACTGTCAAAACACGCAAAAAAGCATGAGATTTTCGGATTTTTTAACAATTTTTGGTAAGCAAACTTACATTATCAGAATAGAAGATGGTGTCATCATTTCGTGGCCACTTGACATTGATGCGATGCTGCGGCGGGTCGGGCGGGGTGCGACATCCGCTTTTTCGGTGGTACTCGGCCACCTTGGCCTGGTGCTCTTTGCCGTTCAGATGCTGGAAATGGCAGTAAAATTAAATCATAACTGAAAAAGGTACCTTTTGATATTGGCCTTTTCCGGAACAGCTGAATGGACAAAGGAGGCAGCTCCATTGCTTCATATTGTGCTTTTCTTGCGATTGGTGCTCGATTGTCGCCTCATGGATCCACCGCTCCTGAGAAAATCGATTATAATTAAAGCTTGCACCATGAAAATACGAATTTTCAACAGTTCTAACGTCATCCCTAGTGTTTTTCACAGCGTTTTTGGCAAAGTTACCGAGTTCAAGCGGAAACTATGCAGAAAACGAGGTCTAATGCCTAAAATGAGCAATTTTGGCCGAAAGTCGAGAAATTTCGGTGGAAAAAATGAATATTTTTGTTTCTCAATGATCATTTTACGATCAGGGATAGCGAAAAGCAGCCTAAAACCCCTCAAAAAGTAGCAAAGCTTTTCCCCGGAAATGCTAATGAATTGCGCCTTCAATTAAGAAGCGATATAAGAGAAACGTACATATTGGCTGGGGAAGCCGGTGTGGCAAACCGGACACCAGTGGTCCGACATTGGATGACCCCTCGTGTTCTTTCACTCTTTATCGGTTCTCGAAGTGCAAAAATGCTTCTAAATAAATGAGAATTGAGGCGTTTTCATGGGGTTACTCATAAAGCCGGAATTTCAATATTTCAAGTTTTGGCATTATTACACGGCTTTTTCGAGAGGTTTCGTGAAAAAATGGCGCTATTTCGGTTCAGCGGATCCAGTTTGGTTTTCGACGGATTTCCAACGTTTTTCGCACGATCCTAGGGTAGTTTCAAGCGCCGAGCTCGGAAAACAACATCCCGGGTCGATTTTACGTCAAAAAAATCGAGCTCGGCACGTCGAATTACCCTAGAATCGGCGCTAAAAACGTGGCCTAAAACCATCGCTCCAGGCAGGTCCGCTCAACCCAATAGCGCCAAATTCGGTACTAGTATACTTTGCGGGGGGGGGGCCAAAAAAATTTTTCGACCAAAATTTCTCATTTTCGATTATTTTGTTCAGTTTTTCGTGCTGTATCCAATGAAAGTGCTTCCAGATTTTTTTAGATCATGTTTTCTAGTAATAATTAACTAGCCTAATCCTAAGCATGCGATCCATTCTTCAACTTTTGGTCGCATGTAAAGGAGATCCACCCCTAGGGGTGGATCTCTCCACCCCTAGGGCCCTGCAATTAATTGTTATTGTTGCCTAATTCTTATGTTGTTGCAATAATAAAAAATCTGGAAACATGTGCGAACGCATGAAAAATTCAGCATGAAAAACTGAACAAAATAGTGCAAATGAGAAATTTTGGTCGACAAAATTTTTTGGCCCCCCCAAAGTATACTAGTACCCCAAAGTCAACATACTGAAATTTCGGCCTTATGAAGCCACAAACTCCCATAGAAAACTCTTTTCACGAAACCAACAATATCTAGCTGTCAACAAACGGACCAACGAATCTTCGATTGGCGTGTCATTTTGAACAAAAGTTTATTGGATTTATTGGCGGGAAATTTACATTGAAAAAACCCCAGAAAAAGGACACGAATTGATGGATGAGCAATGGGGGGATATATTGCAGAGAAATGGAGGGAAATGGAAAGAGGGGGGCAACAAGCAGAAAGAAGAGCGGAACGAGGAGGAGGAGGAGGAGAAGCACCGAATATACATATCGTCTCTAGAGTTTTTGTCTTTTTATACGGGTAAAAGGGGGACCAGGAAATTGAAATTTTTGCGAAAACGAGGTTTTAGCAAATGCGCGTAAACAGATTTTTTCACTTGAAAACTTCCAAATCTTTGAATCTTAACGTTTTTTGGGGTTTTAAAAATGTAATTAGGCAAATTTAGAGCTATTAGAACAGAAATTAGAAACCGATAGGGCTGAATTTTGCTTTTCGGTTGTTTCTAAGCATCTACATTTATCAGGATGACCCTAATTTTTTTCTAATAGCTCTAAATTACCGTAATCCAATTTATAAAGCCAAAAAAGCACGAGAAAAACAAAAATCTACACGTTTTTATACATTTTACGCCCTTTCAAAATCCCGTTCGCGCAAATTTCCCCAGTCCCCACCCCGACAAGGCCAACGACACGCTCCTATAGACACACACACACCATTCACGCGGGGGAACTATCAAAAGAGGGGAGAAGCGGAAGCTCAAACGGCCAAAAGCAAAAGCCGACAAATCGATAAATTATCACAGAATGAATATATAGGTCTGTTTCTCTCTTTCAAATGAAGAATTAATGATGAATGAAGGCACACACACGGCAAACAAGATGAACAGCATCTTCTGTTTTATGTAGTTGTCAATTCGTCCTTGTTGAAGACGTCGGCCACGCTCTTCTTCTACCCGTCAGACCATTCGTTGTTCTCTTCTTCTAAAAAATAGCAACATTAGATTGGTTTAAAACTAAAATCGAAAAAATAATAAAGTAATTGACTTTTTCCGTACGATGCCATTTTTCTAACGAAAATATAACAAGTCTTTTCAACACTGTTTTTTTACCATTCATTAACGGAAAAACGCTCCGAAATTTGATTTAAAAAACTCGAAAAATATCGATTTCGGGGAAAATTTCACATTTTAAAATTTTCCACGTTTTTAAAAATAGGTTTGGCCACAGGAAAACGCCAAATTTGACAAGAAAAACTACTAAAATACTTGTTAATACGTTACTATGGATATCTGGAAGGTAAAGAAAGTAGGACTTCTTTGAAAAATACACAAAAAGATAGCTTTTTCACCCAATCTCGAAATTTTGACATTTTCGAAATTTTTTACTGATTAATATTTTTACCTTCATCATCAGAATCCGAGTCGGAAGAGAGTCGATTCCTTCTATCAGCCAGTGCTCGGGCCAGTGCCCCGGCCAATCCGCCCACATCACCCACATTCTGTGTCGAGCGCCGCTTCTCCGTCGACTGCACGTCCACCTAAAAAGTTATATTAAAAATTTAAATAAATCAATATTATGAATATAATTAAAGCAAAAAGAATAAACCATTAAAATAAATAAATACTTTCGCTTATTAAAAAACGTACATGTTTCAACTGTGCGCCGGCCCTGAGCTGTTCCATCAAATCCCCACGCGCATCACCGGCTTTTGGCGTTGAGGGTTGTTGGGGCGAGGCGCCGACACTCTTCAGAGCTTTTCCCGCCTGGATCTCCTGAAAATGACGAAAAAATATGAAATTCTAGTAAGAAAATCAAGTAGAAAATAGCTTTTTTTTAAAAAATCCTATTAAATCATAATACTTTTTTTAAACGCTAAAAAACCCGAACCGCGAGCAGATTTCCTCGATTGGGCTGGGCAGACGGGAGTCCCTTGAGTGGATTGACAGCCGGAGTAGATGAAGGAGGAGGAGCACCACCAGGAGGTGGAGGAGGAGGGGGAGGCGGAGGAGCACCACCGCCTCCTGCTCCAGTCAAATATCCGGGTGGTGGTGGCGGGGGAGGAGGGGGCGGAGGAGGACCACCTCCACCAGTATTTGGAGGTGGTGGAGGGCCAAGGTCGGGGCGGCCGGCGATCGGCTGCGAGGAGGGCACCTGGAAAAGAGCATTTAGAAAAATCATGGCTCGTCATTTTGATGGCGTAATCAGATCAGGGCCTAAAAATAAAAAGAGAAATCACCGCTAAAATTAAAGGATAAAAAGACGGGCCTCGAATTTTCATGGCGTAATCAGTTAAAGTTCTAGAAATTAAAAATTAAATCAACGTTAAAAGCAAAAAGAAGAAAAGGCCGATCCGCCATTTGCTTGCGTAATCATATAGACAAAAATGGGGGCATCAATTTCATAGCGTCTTCAGCTAAAGGTCTAATAAATTAAAGAAAAATCTAAGCTAAAACTAAAAAAGAGACGGCCAAATCAAAAGCAATCAAATACAAATCTAGCTTTTTACAGCGCAATCAAATAACCCTCAAAAATGTATACCTTTGGCAGCGGTCGAATCTGCTGTCCAGGTGGAGGTGGTGGTGGTCTGCTGGGCGGTACAGAAGTGGCCGTTGTACCGTAGTGCTGCTCCTGTTGCATCCTACTGGCCCCTCGAGTTGGTGGCGGAGGTGTCGACGATTCCTGAAATACAAAAAAATATAAACAAATTTTGAGGCCCCAAAAACCCAGCAAAAAAAATTCTAAAAAAGCGTCCATCACCTCTGCATTGTGCTTATGTTTTTTCTGCTTCTTTTCTTTCTTGTCTTTCTAATATGGTTTTGGAAAACAGATAGTAGACAGCTATAGGAATAGAAAACTCAGGTTCTTTTGCATCATCGGGGGAGGGGAGGCTGAATTTTTCCCGAAAATGCCTGTAATAACGTTTTCGGTAAAATTTAACCACATTTCAAATGGAAAAACAGGTTAAAAATTCCAGATCATTTTTAGTCGATATTTTGTCGAAATGTTGATTTTTCTTAATTTTGACTAAAAGTTTCTAAAATATGTATAAAGTCCCCCCCCCCCCCCGATAATGCAAAAGAACCAGAAATCCATAATTTATCTAATTTCTAAAACCGACCGATGACCAATTATTGTTGACCGGGGCCATCGGAGCTGGCGTCTTGGCTTGCTGAACCGCAGGAGGAAAGCTAAAAAATGGTACGTTTCGAAAAATAAAAGAATTCGGCATATTTTAATTATGTCGAAATAAAATATTTTCGATAAAATAAAAGGGCTTACTTTTGGATAGAGGCGAGCGAGGGTCCCGGATTGTCCTTATGATAGCTGTCGATGAAATCGTAGACGAATTTGATGGTTTTCCGGTCCATATTCTCGGTTGATGCCCCGGCTGCCTTGATAATCTCGGCCACGCTCTCGTCTATTTGGTCGTTGGTGTACAGTTTTTGGGAGAAGCCGTTGTCCTGGTCCCAGCCCACGTGCGCCTTGTGTCTGAAAAAGGAGGAAATTAATTAATTTTTAGAAAAATAAAAAAGGCACCAAATTAAATTAATTTAAATTGAATTAATTAATTAAACCAAACAAAATCTGATTTAAACCAATTTTTTGAACATGGAAATCGGAATCTAACCAAAATTGAGAATAGCAAAAATAGCAATCAAAATGATTTTGAAATAGAAAAATTGAAATTAATTATTTTTAGAAAAATCACAACATTTAATTTAATTGGTTTTTAGAAAAATAAAAACCCGGAATTAAACTCATTTTAAAACCAAAAGCGCATAAATCCGAATAAAACCCACTCAAAATTGGTGGGATTCGAGATGTCCTCCTTCCGGATCCGTTTCTTATCCTTCTTCTTTTTGGTGCCAAACCCGAAAAAGTTGCGTTCTTTCTCGGCTTGTGGGGAGGCCACGTTCGTCGGCACCGTCACGCCTAAACCCAAATTTTCAAAAAACAAAAAAAAATCCTACCATTAGCATTGAAGGCCGGAGTGACGGTGGCCACCGGTCGAGTGCCATACCCAACTAAAAATAGATAAATTGATGAAAATGAGAGAATTTGGTACCAATGGGTCCAGTTGTCGCGGCGTATCCAACTGGGGCCGGACTCTGGCTTTTCTGCTGATCTGAAACTGAAAGAAATTAGAGGGAATTTTCTAAGCTCAATTCTTCACCCTTTTCCAGGCCTAGATTCTATTTTCGTACTTTGTAGACAGCCCTAACCATTCAAAATCCACACAATCCATCCCCGAGCTTGTTGCCTATGCAAATACATGCGCTAAGCTAAAGGCTGATGACCGGCTGGCTGTTGCCCAGACCAGAGAAACGCTCAAGTGAGAGAGAGAGAGAGAGGGAGAGAGAGAGAGGGAGAGAGAGAGAGCGAGGGAGAAAGAGAGAGAGAGAGAGCACAGTTCCAAATCGGCTATTTGCCCGTCGGCCATCACTTGAGATTGTATGGCCACACACCTATAGCCAGCCGAAGAGCCCCAAAGGCCATATATGGGTATAGCTATACTCTTAAACTATACTATACAATTAAATCAAAAAATCAAAAAAATCCTATACAAAATTTTTAAAAATCTAATTTATTAAAAAGCGAATTTCCCAAGTTTTACAACCGTTGAAACCCCCTGAAAACAATAAATTTAACTAGCCAACAATTTTCAAAAGTTTCCGCGCTTCTAACCTTCACATAATCAATCAAACCGTAAGTAAAATAAAAAAATCGCAGTGGTTTTTAAACCTCAAAAAAAATGCACCGAAATTCATAAATTTACTAAAACTGCCATTTTTCTAGACATTTTGAACCCGAAAAAACGATGAAAACATAAATTTAAGCAGCTTACTATCTGAAAAATTTCTAGCCAATAGACCCCCAAATTTGCCCAAAATAAGAATTTTCCAGCCATTCAAAATGCTAAAAAAATCCCAAAAACACAACACCTCTACTATTCCCATTCTGAACAGACGGTCTAACAATAGCCGTCGCGGCCGCCCTCCTTCGACTTGACGGCGGTAGTGGGGGGAGTGGGGGTGGGAAGCTCTTCACCGACTGTTTCGGCTCGCTCTTCGAATCGTTAGACGACGTACAAGTAGTGATGCTCGTCGTAGACAATCTGCTCCTCAACACTCCCGAGCTCTGTTTTCCCAGTGTTCCATAGGCATACAAATAATCCCGTCTTTGCGCTAATGGACTGGGTGTTCTTCCTTGTACTTTAGTTAGTACAGGCTCAGATTCCTCTCTTTTTTGAGGTTGAGGTGAATATTTGAGAGAAGCCGATCTGGAACGAATTTCCGGGGGAGTTTCTACTTCTTTCGGGTCGTAATATCGTCTTCTGACGGTTGAGGACACGAATTCTCCTCTAGAAACGGGGGAAGGGATTCGCTGTGCAATTCCCATCCGGGGTTGTGGCTGGCCGTAGATGCGAGGAGGAGCTGCATATTCTGATTCGAAATTTCTACCGTCAAAATATTGATAATCCGGAGGGGGTTCCCGGGGTATTTGCCCCTCATAAAAGAAAGATTGTTCGCCGGGTTTGGGGCAGATGAAGCTCTGACTTTTGTAGAGTCGAGGCTGGAGAATGTTGGAGAGATTCAGAGGACCAGAAACTAATTGCCCTTCTTGATATTCTGAAGAAGAAGAGGATGAGGCCGAGTTGTAGAGGGCAAATGTCGGTCCATTATAGGAATAAAGCGACTGTTTCCGGGGTGTATTTGTAGAGGAATATGTATAGATTGGGGATAGGGGAGAGACGTTGTCATAGGATTCTTGCTCTCTATGGGGCCGAGAAGAACGATGGATTGTTGGAGGGGAATAGAGATGATTCGGGGAGGGAAATTGTGGACAGCCACGAGAATATCTAGAATAGTCTGTCTCAAACGGGGTATTTGTAGGGGTCATTTGACGCTGGGAATATTGAAGGCGGCCCTGTGGATCTTCGCTCACTATCATCCACATGACTCTAAAATTTTGAGAATAGGGAGAGAGCGCGCCCAAAAAAAGCACAAATTCAGAAGTTATTCAGAAAAACGGTTCTAGTGCATTATCGGGGGGGTTAGCGGGCGATAAACTAAAATATGCGAGGTTTGCCTAGACGCCAATTAATGAAAATAAACTTCTTACGCAGAATTTAAAGTCGTTTTAAACATAAAACCCGGGAATCTTTACTTTTCGTCAAAAATATCAAAACTTCAAATTTTAAAAATTAACCACAATCACTCCCGCTAATACACCCGAGCCAGGCGGAGCTTCTAAAGAAGCTGTTTCCGTTTCTAAAAATAAGAAAATAGGTAGAGAGAAATAAATCAGGCCAGAATAATCCAGAAAAATTTAGAGATTAGCTATCGGTCCAAAAAAATTAAGAAAATCAGTGAAAAAAATCATCCGGATGATGAGGAGCCTCTAATGAAGCCGTTTCCGTTTCCAAAAATCATAGTATTGAGAGAGATAGCAGAAGCAAAATGGAGAAAAATGAACAGAATTATCTAAGTCTCAAAAATTAGGAAAACCACTTAAAAATCCAGATGATGATGATGAGCCTCTAAAGAAGCGCGCCTTTCCCCCTGGAATGGACGATTGATGGAATGAGGCAGAGGGGGGGGCAGGCGACAGGCCCATTTGCTGATCTGTCAGGCAAACATAAGCAAGAGCATGGATGGTGCCCTACGCCCCCTACCTATGCAATGGCTACGTAAAGAAGGGGGCTTTTTCTTTCCGCTCTACCCAGCCGATACTATTCCAGACCTTCACAAACACCCCCTTTGCCAGCCCCCCAACTGATTCATGAAATATGCCGGGGTGGGGGGTTGGGCGCAAACCGTGTGCCCTTTGCTTACAATCGGCGGTCGAGGGCCTATAGAATTTTGAGGGGATTTCCGGTGAAATGTTGATACGGATCTGGAAAACGGCGTTTTGACTTCCTAGCTAAAAATTTGTAGCTAAAATTCTAATAATTATGTAAAATTGCTAAAATTCGTGCTAAAAAAGGCGCAGCGCGATACGAAAATGTTGTCTAAATTGGCCAAAATAGCTCAAAAAATGGCATTAAATCCAGTAACAACCTCTGCAAAAACTAGAAAACCAGGCCCGACGAGAGCAGTTTAAAAAGAAAACTAGCCGAGCCGCCGAAAATGGGAATTTCCAATTTCCAGTGGGGAGACATTGGAGAAAGCACGCTAATGCGTCATTCGATACGCGGTCAATGTATCTAACTAGGGAAGTATCTGAACTTGCCATCGAACTTTGCGAACTCAGATAGACCATTCGATGCGCCGTGACAAGAGGATTCCAAATATGTATTAAAATCAACGGGAGCGCATAACGGTAAAAAGTTATGAGCATTTTAAGTTTTACATTGAAATCCGCCGCCGCGAGAAGAGCCCCTCCCAGCGCACCCTGTACATCGGCCTCGTGGCCTAGTGGTGTGCGCATGGGTCTCTGGTCTGTATGACCAGGGTTCGGATCACCTCACGATTTTTATTTTTTGCTTTTTGACCATTCCCTAGTTTTTGCATGTCCAAACTCGGGAATAAGTTTTTCATGACTGTGTGGTCCCTAAAAAGCACCAGTGATGATAAAATAACCTCCGGTAACAAAACCAGGATTGGACGCTCTCTATATTAAAGTTGGCAAAATCGTCGGAAACCACCCTTTTAAGGCTGTGTGCGAATTCGAAGAATTTAATTTGCCAAAGATGGAACAGTACATCTTGATCAGCACAAAATTTCCTTTCGAATGAGCTATCTTACCTGCGCTTTACGCCAAATTCTCGAAAATTCTTCGGCTAGCTGGCCATACCCTACCCTTACGCTGCATTACAAAAAATTTTTGCGGAACTTTTTGGCAGCCATATGTAATATAGCTCATTTGAAAGAGCTTTCTTTGTTGAACAAGGAGCACTAATTAGTTTAGACTAAATTCCATTCCGCAGGATGATACAGGGTCTCAAAGATGCGGTTTTTCGTCATTTTGCCGACTTTGAAGCCTCATAACTTTTTACCGTTATGCGCTCCCGTTGATTTTATTACATATTTGGAATCCTCTTGTCACGGCGCGTCGAATGGTGTATCTGAGTTCTCGAAGTTCGATGGCAAGTTCAGATACTTCCCTAGTAAGGAAAAGAGCCAAGCCATCGAAAAAATGGACCAAAATTTGCTCCAGAAATCAGGGAAACAAAAACAGCAAAATTTCTAGCCTACTGCGGTTGTTAGCCCAAAAAACCTCCGGTAAATGCTCAAGCTAGAAAAAAGATAGATTCGATGGTCCAAAAAACCCCAAAAAGACGAAAAAGGGCAATTTTGGCGCTGTAAATCGAAAAGTTAAGCTGATTCGTCACGATAAACCCAAAAAACTAGTTAAAAATGATCGAAAATAGTCGATCTAGAAGACAAGGGTCCAAGGGAGAGTACTAAAAGCCAGAAGAAACCGCGCCGGAGGGTACAAAAGGTGCGAATGGGGGGCGGGCGGGGGTTGGTTCGGGAAGACTTTTCATGTTTCTAAAACAAGAAGCTCCCTTTTCCTTAACGAAAAGACCCATTCTAGGAGCGAAAAGCGGAGTCTTTTCGAGTCGCGTGGCGGGTCCAAATTCGTCAAGTCAGAGGTGGTGGTGGGGGAAGAAGGTTCTTCCTGGGCCCCTTCCAACCGGGGGTGTGCTGCTGCTAGAAGGAGGGGACCATGTGGGCAAACAGTCCCCTCTTTCGGGGGCTTCGAAGCAACGGCTTCTCCCTTTCCCCTTCCTGCCCTCCTCTAGGGGGATTCGGAAGCAAGGCGACTGGCAGCTGTCTGTCGGCCGCCCTCTCTCTGATCATCTCCACCGTCCACCGATCGCTGATTTGGTGTAAGGGCGGCGGGGACCCTCGATGTGGCCGTGGATGTAGAACATGGAGATGTTCATGAGGGCATCATCATGACCGGATCGAGCTTGATATCAACCAAAAAAAGGAGGGGATGGGGTCTGGTAGTGTTCCAAGAGAAAACGGGTCACCATTAGTCAAACAAAAAAATGGTGGGCCTCTTACAACTAAAAAAATTCGGCACAAGCTGTTTTCTTCGGCCGTTTTTGGCTTTCTAAAGTCCTCCAAAAAGAGCTAGAAAACTACAGAGTACAAATAATGATTTTAATGGATGACAACATCCAAAAAATAAGGATGCTGATTGAAATTCTAAAATCCAGAAGTCAAAATTCCCCGATAATTACAACTGTTTTCAACCTATTCTAAAGACCCCAAAGAAAAGTTAGAAAATTACACACTACATCTAGGATTTCTCCCAAGTTCAAAACCCATAAAAAACGAAAATCCAAAAACTAAAAAAGCAAATCAACCCCTGAAACGACAACCATTTTAATCTACTCTAAAGACCTCCAAAAAGAGTTATAAAACTACAAACTACATGTCATAACCTCATCAAATACGAAAATCCGCAAAATCCAGCTCCTCCCTCGCGCCCAAACTCACTGGATCTCCTCTCGGCCTCATTCCTCTTGTCGATATGCCCCTTGAATTTGACGGCCTCGTTCGGACTCGCAAAGTTCAGTCCGATCACGCGGCCATGCTAAAAATGGTTTTTCAAAAGTTGAAAATTCGAGCGCTACCTCATCCTCAAAAGTCAGTAGATACGGGCAATTCGAGTATGAAGTGACCGTGAAATTCTTGCCCCTAAAATGTGATAAAAAGCAGAAAGACAAGAGTTTTACATTCTCTCCGTCCAGAGCACCACTCGATCCAATATATCGTAGAGACGGAGGAAATAGGATCGTTGCGGGTAGTCTTTCACCAATGATATCACACCCCGATGTGTTGGCACCCATCTGAAAAAGGACGGTTTAGTGGGCTTTAAAATCCGAAATTTACAACTAAAAAGGTCTACAACCCTTGAAAAAGTAATAGTCAGTTTCCATCATCCAACACTAATTTACGGTGAGATCGACCTAAGAAAGCTTCATATAAATGTTTCCTAATGATAAACTCGTTAATTTCAAACTTTTAAAAGTCAAAGCTAACAATTTCAGTGTTTTCACGTAAAAAAAAGGTAGTGCCGTAAATTGCATTAGATAACGCTGATCCGGTCAAATCGAGCTCCAAAGATTATTTCAAACGCTTTTCTAAAGCGAAACTAGTCATTTTCCAACGTTGAAAGTAAAAAAAATTGATTTCGCAGCGTTTTACCTCTAAAATTCCAGCAAAATCGCTAATTTAAGGTAAATAGCCCTTGAAATAGCCTTAACGTTTGAGCAAAGACGTTTTCTTTACCTTCCGCCCTGTCCTTCAGCAATCTCAACAACAGCCGCGTAGAGGGAGTATGAATCCCGAGATAGACATTCGAACAGGATCTCGTTCTCTTCTAAAAACACAGGAAAACATTAAAAACAATAAAAGAGCCAATCAGGGTTCGATCGAGTGGGCCAGGATTCCCATGACCACCTCCAGGTCGGCCGACCACCTCCAGGTTGGCCGCGAAGCGGCCAAAAAAATTTTGATTTTTTTAAATGTGTGATTGATGGATAAAGTTTTTTTTACGTTTGTTTTGTGTCAAATGAATGGTTGGCAGCTAGAAACTGGAGACGGCAGCATCTAACCAGGCTAAAAGGCAGAGCGGTGAGGGAAGAGACGAAAGCAGACAAGGCCGAGGCATTGGCGAAAATGCTGACATATATTGCTTTATGGATATTCTTATGGATTTCTTGGTCATACCGGGTCGATCCGGTGAAACAGCCTGCCGGTAAGCGAGATAATGTAGACAAAGACTGGATTTTATTACAATTGGAAATCGAGGTGAGATAGGACATCGCGAGCCTGCGACTGCAACCCTGACCGAGATGCGCACCAAGATTTTCGGGATTGAGCGCGAGCATGCATTTTGATAACTATCCGGATGCGCAAGATCATTGCCAATTCCTGGAATTAGAAGAAGAATGTAAAGGAAGGAAGGGTGTGCAATGGCGGCGTCAGCAAGGGAGCAACATCCGGGAAAGAACAACGGTTCGATCCGATTCTAGGTAGGTCCCAATGACACATGGTGCCGGAAATTTCCTCAATTACAGGCGACGAGCCGTTCCGAGGGGATGACGACAACTCAGACCCGAGCGAGGATGTCGTGGATATCAGTCCCGAAGAAGCCTTAACCTATTCTGGGCACCTAGGGGTCCGCAGGTTAATACCGCCCGCTGTTTGAATCGATTAAGCCAACCCCGAGCCAAATTATATGTCTATTTCAGCTCAAATTCACCGTTTTTTCCTCCCTGAAAATCTATCTAATGAAAAATATTTTTGTGTAGTAGATCAAAATGTTGGCATAAAGCGTCTCTATCACATGTCAAAAGTTTAAAACCGTATCTTATTATTTTGACAACCTCCAGGCCCATTATCGACTGATTTTGGCTAAAAACTGCCATTTTTGGATTACCAAAAATTCCGTTTAAGGAAAATATTTTTGTATTGTACATCGAAATGTCGGCATTAACGATGGTTACAACATATAAAAAATTCAAAACGATTACTTATTATTTTGACAACCTCCAGGCACTTTATATGCTAATTTTGAGCAAAAAATGCGGTTTTTCGGTTTCGACAAAATCGCCCTATCGAAAATATTTTTGTATTGTACATCGAAATGTCGGCATTAACGATGGTTACAACATATAAAAAATTCAAAACGATTACTTATTATTTTGACAACCTCCAGGCACTTTATATGCTAATTTTGAGCAAAAATGCGGTTTTTTCGGTTTCGACAAAATCGCCCTATCGAAAATATTTTTGTATTGTACATCGAAATGTCGGCATTAACGATGGTTACAACATATAAAAAATTCAAAACGATTACTTATTATTTTGACAACCTCCAGGCACTTTATATGCTAATTTTGAGCAAAAAATGCGGTTTTTCGGTTTCGACAAAATCGCCCTATCGAAAATATTTTTGTATTGTACATCAAAATGTCGGCATTCAGAGCCTCTATAACATATCAAAAGTTCCCAACGACATCTTATTATTTTGACAACCTCCAGACCCTTTTCCCAGTTAACCCAACGCTGGATTTTCCGGGCCCCTGAAAAAAAGTAAACCTGGAGGTCATATCTAAAATCTTCCTGAGAACGATTTTTCCCAAACTAAAGGCTGCCATCCATAGCCAAGGATACGATCTTATTTGGGTGAAATTTTTAACCGGATCGGTTCAGTAGTTTTCGAGAAATCCCACTTCGAAAAAAAAAGTTATGGGAAAACGCATGGGAGGCCATTTTAAAGCAACGCTTTTTACTCAAAAACTTTAGATTAGCGTCCCAAATCTTTTTTACTTCTTTTATCTCCTAGGTTCTTCCGCATCCATTGCCATCTTCCGTTTTTCCTTGCCGCGTCTATCAACCGAGATAACCTCATGGGAAGCATGGGTTTTTAATGGGAAAATCTACCTGGCTGCCAAAATACCTATTTCCGCCCGGCGTTTGACCCCATTCTGCATTTTAAACGTTACAGAGGTCTTCCTGATCCATTCTCTAGCGATTCCGATCGATATTTTTCAAAAAGCAAAAAAATTTGTCGCGGCGGGGATTCGAACCAGGGACCTTTGACTCGTCAGTTTCTACTTACCCCCGGACCCATTCTGCATTTTAAAACTTCCAGATGGCTTCCCGATGGATTCTCCCGTAATTCCGTTCTATATTTTCCAAAAAGCAAAAAAAGGTTGCGGCGGGGGTTCGAACCCGGGATCCCTGACTCGTTGTCTTCTTCAATGATTACGTACAGCAGAGTCAATTACTGGCCGCGTAGCGGCCAGTAATTGACTCTGTCGTAAATAATTAAAAATTTTTTTGGGCTTTTTTTGACCACCTCCAGGCTGGTTGACCACCTCCGGGCGGCCGACCAAATTTTTTCCCATGCTAATCGAACCCTGGAGCCAATACCTGGCTGTAAAATATCGGATCCACAATTGTTGGGCCGTTTCTTCATGGTAGATCTGTTCTGTTGTTGTGATTGCATTGGGAAATGATGAGGAGTGGATGTGGAGGGATATGCTGTTGTCATCCGGTACTTCAATCCAACATTTGATGCTGAAAATGAAGAGAAATATACAAAAACAAAGGCCAGGACGTACCTTAGAAAATTGAGGGGGTATCGAGAAGAGTTGGAAGTGGGAGGATGGATGGAGACGGGTTGTTGACGTCTGCCTAAACCGATAATGGGTGTTGGATTGGAAAGAGGGAAATGGAAAGGGGAAGAACAGGAGGAATCTCGAATAATGGAAGGCGGAATTGTGGGCAGGAGGAAATGGAGGAAATGGAGGAATCATAGCATGAGACACCGGACAAAATAAACCCCTGGAAATTGCCCTCCAAGGAGCATATTTCGCTTGACAAAAAAAGCGACAAATCAAATTGATTCTAACTAGAAGGCACAAAAATGAGCCTTTATAAGCGCAATACGGAGGAAATTGTCGTCAGAAAATCAGCGCAAAACCAAACTTCTGAAACCAGACGCAGTGCATAGGGCCATAACTACGATGAAATGTGCAGATTCATCGAAAAAAACAGCTATAATAACTAGGGACAAAAAAGTGTAAAATTCTAACGATTCTTAGGCTGAAAAACTTGAAAATTTGGAATCTAGCTATAATGAATTTAGCACCAAAATTAGGCATTATAGACGGTCAGAAAAGGTGAAACTACCGGGTATTCTGCCTGCCGTGTTGCCCAAATCTGCCTGAAACGGTTATACAAAAGCGAATTTGGTTTAAACCCATGCATGATAAGTCAAAAGGCGTGAAACTCTAGCTATCCGTATGTAGAATATGTTAAAATCTTCCACAAAAAGCAATATTAACTTTAGAGAAGAAACTAGGCTCTACAAACTCAAAAAGGGTAGAAATTGCGGCGCTATTTGAGTTTACCGGCCCCACTTATATTTGGCCGAAATTGCTTCTATTCTGATTCTATTCTTACGCTCAAAAACCTAGAAATTGACCAAAAACCTTCCTTTGTCAATTCCTAGCAAACCGGCAGCGCCCCCCTTCCATGGTTGCATTGACCCGAAAAGTGACACAAAACTACCCAAAAGCGATTGCCCTCTATAATTGAGGGCTGACCGCTGCGTGTGAGTGTCTCGAAATCGATCAAATACCCACAACTCGCCCCGTTTCACAAGTCTGACTCATCCCCTACCCAAACAAACTCCCCCTAAAAGAGAACTGCTCATTTTGGCACGAGTGTATAACCCGTAATCTGAAACGTATAAGGGTTGACGCACGCCAAAGAGGAACTAGGAAAAGTCCGAAAGTCCGCCAAAAAAAAAACTAATTGGCGAATCGCGCCTTTCGCCGGGGGAATGACCGGATGTTTTGGCGGCTGATAAGGAGAAGAGAGAGACATTATCGATATCTAAATGCGGATTTTCTAGAAAAGATTTTTAGGGGAAAGAAAAGTTAGTTTTATGGAACGTCTATTTCTAGGTACACGGCTGGAACAAATTTATCCTATGGATGCATCGTATATCTACAGAAAGCAAGACTTTTGCGGCCGAAAATTATACAAATCAATCCAAAAGTCGCTGCCAAAACCCTATTTCCAAGCGCAAATTTTCAAGAATGTGAAAAACGCGGTACATCTTTGAAATTAAAACGTTAAAACGTCTAAAAACGTTAACGGCTTGGTTTCTAAGGTAATTTCATTGAACTTTGCCGGAGAATATTCCTAGCAATTTTAAAAGACAACTTCGCAAAAATTTCTTGCTTTTTACGACAAACTTTTACGAAGCTCGAACCGCTCAAAAATCGCTCCAATCGTTCCCCAGCATTCCACTGGACACTTTGGTGTCAAGTGGAATGAAACGGAATGGAGGTTTTCGGCTGATTCAGGCCTAAAAAGTATTGCAAAGTTGAAAAAGCTATTATTATAGAGTTTTAACGGTATAGAAAGAATGGTAGTGTGGTTGGAGAGAGAGACTGGAGGTTGTTGAGGAGGTTGGGTGGAGGGATCGATACCGGCCCACTGGCTAGTCCCCTTCTCGCTCTCTCTATCTCTCTGTTTGTCTCTCTCTCCCTCTGTGTCTCTCTATTTGTCTGAATCTCCCTCTTGTGGGGTGTCTCCCCCTCAAGCAATCCCCGGTGCACGGAATGACGACTGACTGACCAACTGACTGACTGAACGGACAAAACGGATTAAACAGAGAGCACACATACAAACAACAAGCCGACAGACAAATGGACAAACGGACACACACTCCTACACAGCATTTCGCACTCTCCTTCCGTCTATTTCTTGCAAACCTCTTGAAATTTGATGAAAACAGTTATTTTTAGAGCTTAATTTATGGCTTAAGCTTGGCAGAATTTCTTGGATTTTTTTCCATAGATTCGGATTCCATCGAAAAGTTATATTTTGCAATGCTATGCGTCAAAAAATACGTTTATTTAGCTAAATTCTCAGAACGATACTCGAAATTTTGTGTACACCATGTTTTCAAGATGTGATTTAGCCAGTATTCATAAGAAATCATAGCTTTTTACGTTTAGACCGGTAGAAACTTCCGTTCAGCTTTATCGCCACTACGATTCATCCTTTAAGAAAAACGCGCACGAGAGGGGGCGAAGGGGCTAGGCTACGGGGCGCTCCAATACCCCTCGCGTAATGCATTGTTAAGCTAAGGGGTGCTATCTTTTCCACTTTCAACTGGCTATAACTTTTTTCTGAGAAGATTTCATAATCTACTTGAGTGTACAAAAAAATAGAACAGCTTCTGCTCTATCTTTTGAGCAAGGTTTCATGAAAATCGTACACGGCAATCGGGCGCCCGGTCGGTTTGAAGTTGAGAAAAATGAGGTACCTAAGACAACGGGCATCATAGGGAAGCTAAATGTTTGTCCATAGCGCCTCAATTGCATTTTTTTGATAAAGTATAGACTAGCAACTATCCAATAAAGTGCAAAATCGCATCACCTTAACATCTACATCAGGCTGCAATAGAAAGTTAGTTAAAATTTTCAACTGGCTATAATACTTTTTACTGGCTGTTCTGGAATCTGCTTGAAAGCTAGGAACACAGAACAAACTTCGCTATATCTGCCGCAACCAGTTTTAGAATGTCGTAGCGTTGTGATTTTAACAGCGGTCGATTTGGATATATGTATGAGTCCGCTGTTTTTCTTCATCCATTCTGCGCAAAAGAAAGTGATAGGATGCTTCTTGATTCGTCTAGAGTCATGACATTCCACTAGGAACACTTTCCACAAAAAAGCAAAACGAAAATGCGGAGGCCTGCGAACTCGGGAACCGAACCCACGTCCCCTGCCTCGGGGCTGAACCGCCGCCTTTGACCACTACACCACGCCCCGACCACCCCTCCCGTGCGCGCTCTGAAAGGCCGTGATCGCCAAACTTTTAAGGCCTTGTTTTCCTTTCCGAACTCGTTATCAATGCTTTCCCTACGCGTCTCCTGCCAAAAAACTGACGTTGAAGGTTTCAAACATTTTATAACCCGTTTTTCAGGCCCAAGGAATGAAATAACCCCGCCTTCGTGGAACGCGGATTCCAGAAACAAATAATAAGAAGAGAGAAAGCGACAAAAATTGAGGCAAAATGTTCATCTTCCGCGTGTTGAACACCGTTCCCTACAGTAATGAGGTAAGTTCTTGTTTTTCGACCAAAAATATAGCTATTTTAGGTAGCAGTAAAAGATGTGATCGCGCACATCCACTCATTCTTCACCTGCAATCTGTTGATCGGACTGGCCGTGCTCGTTTCGTGGAAACAATTCGGGGGGAAACCGATTGAATGTATGGTGCCGACTGATTTCACATCGGCTTGGGTGCAGGTACGTGATTTGCTATGGTTTATGTTAAAGAAATGAAAATCAATGAAAAATGTACTATTTCAGTACGCGGAGAATTTTTGCTGGTCGCAGGACACGTATTTTGTGCCGTTGACCGAGCACGTGCCGACGGATGAGAGTATTCGCAAGAGCTCGCCAAAGGTTAGTAAGTTATATTGAGGGAGAACACAGCTGTGAACTATATAAAACACTATTCTGGGTGTAAAATAGCTTTTAAAAGAACTGGAAAATGGTTGAAAAATTATGAAAATTACGAAAACGCGAAATAAAACCAAATTTTTCCAGATTTCCTACTACCAATGGATGCCATTCTTCCTGCTTTTCAATGCGGCATGTTTCAAGGTAAGTAAAAAAGTATAGAAAACCATAAATAGTCTTTTAGCTCCCCTGCTTCATCTGGAAATATTTTGCCAGCCAGTCCGGGATGCGCGTCGGAGAGATTTTGCGTGTAGCGTGCGATGAGGAAAATGCTGTCCCACAAGTAAGTCATAAAATCTTGGAAAAGACGCTTAAAAAGCTAAACAATCAGCAACGCTTCCATTTAATGAAGTTCAGGTGAAAAAGGCGAATATCGAAGCTTTATGCACCCATCTACAAGGCGGCCTCCGTTTTCACAAGCGACTCCATCATGTTTGTCAAATAAATTTGATAAAAACTTGAAAATTATAGAAAAACATCCTCCCGCACAAATTCCTACGGTTTTTGAATCTGAAGTACTCCACCTACTACGTCACTTTCATTTACTTTGCCGCCAAATTGGCTTTTTTGCTGAACGTTGGGCTGCAAGCAAGGTTGCTGAATCGGTGGGTTTAGCCAGAATTCAGAAAAATAAAGTTTTTAAGGGTTTACCAGGGTTGAAAAACCGCTTCGCGGCTTTTCAACCCTGGCCCCGTCCAGGACCTGTGAAAGTCCTTAATTTGCATGTTTCTACCTGAATTCTAGCAAGAAAAAAGTGAAAAACGGCTCCTCTGTCCCTTTATATAGGCTCTTCCTACTTCCGGCGCATGCTAATTTCCCCTAACAAACAGGGTTTTACAAAAACCTATTTTTAATAGCGAAAACCACAATTTTTCAAAATTTTTATGTGTGTGCAGTCGATTCCGGACCATTCTAAACCTATTGTCGTTTCTTCCCTATCCAAAAAACCCTTCCCCGAGGCTGTAGGTGCGGAACATCCAAACGGAAGTGCATGCAAATATACACACACACACACACACAAACACTATTTTTTTATATATAGTAGGATAAGATAGAGATTAATATTTAGAGGCTTTCAAAAGCTTCAATACACTCCAAATTTTAGGTACTTGCTGCCAGCTAAAAATATTTCCAGACTTTCAAAAGCTTCTAAATGCTTTTCTAGCGTTATTTAGAACCTTATAGAGCTTGAAAACGAGTTAGAACCCATTTTTAGGTACGTCCTCCCCGAACAAACGTCAGATTTCGGTTGGGATGTGTGGAAGACGTTGGCATTCTCGGAAAACCACACCCTCCACGATAATGGTCTATTCCCAAGGGTATCACTATGTGATTTTGATGTAAGTGATAACAATTTTGGCCTAAAACACCTTAATTTAGGTGCGCGAGACGGCAAATATCCAAACACACACCGTCCAATGCGTTCTCATCATCAATATTTTCACCGAGAAGATATTCATCGTTTTGTGGGCATGGTAGGGTCGATTTTAGGATTAAAAAAGTTAAAACAAAAAAGTTTTTTTTGACATCAATTCACTTTTTAGGTACCTATTCCTGAGCGCATTCACGGCTGCGAATCTTGTTTCGTGGCTGTGGCTCGTGTTTTCCGAGACTTCAAAGGAACATTTTGTCATTTCACATCTCGAGATGGCCGAGAAAGAGTTTGATAAGAGTATATTACGTAAGTATAAAAATAAATAGATAGTTTTGAGCTTGAAAAATCAAGTTTTAAAGGTTTTTTTATCCCAAAAAAGCTGAGAAATTTCAGAAGACCGCGCAAAAGTGGACAAATTCTTGAACGCGTATCTTGGGATGGATGGGATTTTTATATTGCAGGTAGGGACAAGTGGATAAAAACATAAAATATACTATTTTAGCTAATAAACCAGCACGCGGACGTGATTTTCATCACGGAATTGGTGGGGGCACTGTTTTCGAAGCACGAGGAGATTGAGTAGGTTATTAGAAAGGGTTAATAAGGATTAAAACCTAATTAATAACCAAAATTTAATAGCTAATAAATAAAACTATACTTTTAATGAGGTTAAGTACGTAGAAAAGTATCTAAAGCTAATAAAACGATACTTTTAGAGCGATAAAACGGATGCGAAAGCTGGAATTTGCGACAAAAGAGAGTACACCGACGGATAGTCGAGCCAATTCGCGACAAGCCGTTCGAAGGGACAGTTATTTGCCGGGAAAAGCGATGTTGGCCAGAAATGTAAGTTGGTTAACAATCGTACACGACATGAAAATACGAAAATTTCCACTCGAATGCTCCTTTAAAAAGAATTTCTTTCAGGAATCGCTAAAACACGGCTTTGACAGCGCCCCCCGGATCAATGAATTCGAATTGCTGGATCCACCCCGGAAGGCATTTGAAGATAGTGATGATGAAGAGAAGGGAAATGGAAAGAAGAAAAAGGAAAAGAAGGAAAAGGAGAAACATCATGCAAAAGCAGAGAAAAGAGGATCGATTCCCTCGCCGCCAACAGTGCCGCTGCTGCCCAATGTTTTCAAGAAAAATGAGGTTAGTTTTCAAGCTAAAAATAGAAAAACAAAATCATAACCATAAAAAATAATTTAAAAACCAAATAAGTTTAATTTTGCGGCGTTTTTTAGCAAAATTGTGGCTCAAAATTTGTTGAAAAATACATAGCATCAATTAAGAATGAGAATAAGGTGAATTTCGAGCATTTTTATCAATATTTTCGCCCAAAACATGTGATGGGTCTGGAAAATAGTGTCTATCCGCCTGTCTATCTCTTTCTGCTGCCCTTCTTATCTAAAGTCAACAAACCCCCCACCAACTCCTTCTTTTTCCGTTATTTTTGTTTATTTGAGAAACAGCTGAGGGGGCTGATAGTTTTTAAAGGGACTGGAAAGTCTATCGGCAATTTGTGGATTAAAGGGACTTGGAAGGCTGGTTTCGGATAGCATCGATATTTTTTGCAGCTGATCTGACTAAAACGGGGTCTTTAAGCCCGTTAATTTACTATGATTCAAATCGGCTCAAAATAGTCCTGATTCTCCTTTAGAATACTTTTAAATAGTCTTGAAATCATTTTGAAAACTTTTGACCTTGATTTTCCACTTGGCTATCTGCCAATGCATTAAAAGTTATAGGAAAATTTCGCTAAAATCGATAAAAAACTATTCAAAATTCAAATAATCCAAAAAATGCTGGTTCAGGAGCAACCCCGCCGAGACGACATCCAGCTTCGTCGCAATCTATTCTGGGGTGGACATCATGGGGATCCAGGAAGAGCCGATCCATTCCCTCATCCTGCATATTCTAAGTTTCACGGCGATCATCCAAGGCCGAAATAAGGCCATTTTTGATTTCTTTTGCCGTTATGTTGTAAACTGACAATCATACTGTATATTAGTCAGGTTACTGTAACTATTTTGCACAAAATAACCCTTAAAAATCGCTTAATTTCGTCGAAAAACACGATTTTTACATTCTTTTTTGTTGTTCTAAAAGCTCTATATATCCACTTTTTTGTAGGTTGCCTTATTTTTCGCTAAATTATCAACTACAATATCTTATTAAGTGTTTTTTACTTAGTAGAATACCTTTACTACCGCTTTTCACAAGTCATTTAACCAATTTTTCTCGGGTTTGCCTCTTCCTCTTAATCTGGTCCAACAGCTTTAAAAACTAATCTTTATTGATTCTCATTTGATTTTCTGCATAATCTGATTCTTTTCAATGTATTTTATTTGCTACAAGTTTTAAATAAATTTATTTTTATTTATCAGCATAATTTTCACATCATTTCAATGGGCATTATCAATTTGTACGTAGTTATTCTCATTTTTTGAAATTTACATAGATTTTATAAAATTGGCAGTGTGTCGATAGGTGATTCTGGAATACACTTCAAATCGTCAATAGGATGGAAATGGCGGGAATTGAGCCAAAAAATGGATTGAGGAGCAATTTTTGTGCGCTAGCGGCTAGAATTCATGAATTTTTTGGAGAATTACATGGCGTAATCGATTAGTCCATGAATTTACATGGAAATAGACGGCGTAATCGATTAGATATGGGTTTTGAAAGAGCATTTTCCCAATTTGAGGGACTGATAGAGGCGATCCTGAGCAACAGGTGATGGAAGAGGGGGGAGAGAGCGAGAGAAACAGAGAGAAATTGGACACGTACAGAGGACCACGGTGGAATCCGTGGAAAATAGACTAACTGTCGGGTAGCTTGCCAGACAGCTCGAAAACTGGGGTGGTAGATGAACTCCTTGACGGTCTGCCGGCCAGTTTACCGAGCAGTTCGACCTCTGGGAGCTAGATAAGCTGAGCAGTTTATCGAAAAATTCGATATTTAGGCGATTAGACCGTGCAATTTTGAACTGCTAAACAATCTGGCAGCCGCTTCATCGAACAGCCTGATTCGGGAAATAATTGGTGAATAGTCGAGCGGGGTGGACGGGTCTGAGGAAAGAATCTCCTGCTCCCAATTGTCGACTCCCCATCATTCCTCGTGGTACCACTTCACCCTGGTGCTCCTGGAAATGTTGATGCTCAATTCTATAGCTCGTATTCTAGTCAGAATAATGTCCAAAACCATTTTTAAAGTAATTGACTGTCAGAAAACAAGAAAAATGCCTTTTTTCGTTACTTTTGAACTTTTTGAATGGATTTCTTCCGGACGGTCTGTGGTTTAAAATACAGTTGGTGCTTAATTATATGCCAGAAAGCATGAAAAATGGCTTATTTTGCCTGAATAACACTTTCTGAATTGCATGTCGTAATGCTTCGTCGTACCTGCATAAGATGGGCGAGTGTTCGAACAAGATGGGCAAATGTTGGCCGATCATCCGGACGAGTACGCCAACAACTCAACATCACGTCATATCTGAAGAAATATCGGTATTTAATGGATTTTCTGTGGATTTTCAGGATTTTAAAGGGTCAGGCAAGTCAAAATATACCACCAAGCGTTCGCTATTTTTTCAACAAGCGTGAAGGATGGCCTGGGTTGCTCAAACTGTACGCCAGACACCACAGTACACTGACGACTGTAGCGTGTAGCCTACCGTAACCTCAATTCAAATGACTTACACGCTATCAGGGCAATGGGATGGCTGTGGAAGACGATTGCCGGCTTCCAGGAATGCTTTCACCTGAAAAATAGACGGTTTAGACGGTTTTTCATTTCAAAACACTGCTTTCCGCGTGTTGTGTTCTTGGAATGAAGTGGAATGCGCACGGACGTACAGTTATCGAACAACTGTTTATCTACATAAATGGTGGCAGGAGGATCGGCAACAGAGCTAGTCTGTGCCGATAAGTGGACCCGCAACGAGATAATACAATCTAGTCTTAGGCGGGAAGTGGCGCACGCGACGCGACCGCAGGGGGGCGCGCGCCGGTGGCTTACCCACTGGATAGGAGGGACAGCCGGGAAAGAGGATCTATTGTGGTCTAGCAAGCTAGCACCACAACACCTCCCCTTGTACAACAACAAAGTACAAGTTCCTAGGAGAAATTGGGACAGGAGAGACCAATAAGGCTTAGCCGGATTTACAGTATATGGAAATACACACCAAAAAATAAGATGACACTTATTTTTGCTTATTTTCTTCTTACGACGCACACGAACACGACGTGGCAATCATCCTTCCCTCAACCTTGAACACGCGCACGAACACTACGTGGCCATCATCCTTCTTTCGTTCTTCGGCTTCACTTGTAGACGCGGCCTTGGGCTTGACACGCGCACCTCCTTCGGTCCATGGCAGCGGCAGCGGCCCTTCATTCATCAATGATCCGCCAGCATCAGCACGCTCCTTCGGTCCTTTCGTGGGTGAGGACTAACCAACTTCTTTCTTCTTCTGCAACCTTCGCGGCTTCTGGGCGGTCCTTGGGGCAAAACGGCGGCCGGACGCCGGGCACCTCTTTTTGCGCTTGCACCCTCCTCCTTCTTCGACAACGGCAGCGTGCCACCCGGAAATGTGGGGGCAAAAAGGGGAACAAAACACCTCCCTTTCAATTGATCCTGCACGAGCGGCACCGGCACATCATCCATCGATGGCCATCATCTGCACGCTCTGCTTCTTGATCTTCTCGCCATGCCTTCTTCCTTGTCGCTTGCCAACCATGTAGATGTCCCTGACCTCGACCTTGTCGCTCTCCTTGACCTTGTCGCTTTCTTGGTCCTTGTCTCGTCGGCTTGACTTGACTTCTCGCGCTTCTTCACCTTGTTCCTTCATCCTTGATCACGTTCCTCGGGCACGAGTGGCTTCTTGGCTTGGAATTCCTTGTTCTTGCGTGAGTCCTTGATGATCCTGCTCGCCAGTGTTGTGTTCTTGGAATGAAGTGGAATGCGCACGGACGTACAGTTATCGAACAACTGTTTATCTACATAAATGGTGGCAGGAGGATCGGCAACAGAGCTAGTCTGTGCCGATAAGTGGACCCGCAACGAGATAATACAATCTAGTCTTAGGCGGGAAGTGGCGCACGCGACGCGACCGCAGGGGGGCGCGCGCCGGTGGCTTACCCACTGGATAGGAGGGACAGCCGGGAAAGAGGATCTATTGTGGTCTAGCAAGCTAGCACCACAACACCGCGGCTCCAAAATTCAGAAAAAATATTTTATTTAGTAAAATACCGATTTCATTGTTTTTAATGCAAATTTTAGATTTTTAAAATGTTACGATTTTCGATTACTGTATTCTGGCCGTAAACTAGCCAAAAACATACCTCAGAATTCGAGATATCACCATAGGGAGCAGCAGCTCGAGTGAGAAGCTCCCACACCAAGATGCCGAATGACCACTGAAAAAAGACGATAACTTGCGTTAAAATTTTTTTTAATCGATTTAAAGGCCTAGTTTGACAGGGATAGTGCGAGCTGGCTATCAACTAAAATTCTTGAGATCCCCAGATCGCACGGTCCCTTTAAAATCCAAATTTAAAGTGATACTTACCACATCAGTCTGTGAATCGAAATGTGTTCGATCCCGGAGACTCTCCAATGCCAACCATTTCAATGGAAGACGAGCAGGGCCTGTCTCTGTCTCATCCAAAAATGATTCTTTATCGAACAGATCGACGGCTAGCCCGAAATCTGCCACTCGAACAAGGCCATCAGAGGAGATCCTGGAAATTAGAGAATTTTAATGGTTTCTTTCTGTTTTTAATACTATCTATTCTTGCCTCTCTGTCTCTCTCTCCCTGTCTCTCTGTCTCGCTCTCTCTCGCTCTCTCTCGCTCTCTCGCTCTCGCGCTCCCTCTCCCTCTCACTTTCGCCCTTTCTCTCTCTCTCTCTCTCTCTCTCTCTCTCTCTCGTTATCCTCAAAATTCTCACATGCAATTCCTGGCGGCGATATCTCGATGAACATAGTGAAGTGATGCGAGATAGGCCATCCCCTGGGCCACTTGATACGCAAAATCGACCAGCTTCAAGACGCAGAGTTGCTGAAATCATTGACATTACGGTGGTCAGGATAACATATCGAAAAACTTATAAAAAGCAGAAAAATCGATTTCTGACCACTGGACCGCATGGCCGAGTGGTTAGTGGATTTGGCTGCCAATCTCAGGGTCAGGGTTCGAACCCTGCCCACGCTAAATTGTTTGCTTTTTGGTTTTTGTGAATTATAGACGGTTTTGAAAGCAATAAACTACAACTTAGGGCCCTTACCCTATTCGGATCGGCAATATGGCTCTTCAAATCCCCAAGATCCATGAAGGGAAGCAGCACCCAGGGAGAACCGGTTGGAGAGATGCAGATACCTAAAAATCTGGTTTATTAAGGTATTATTGTCTAAACTGACACACAGCAAGCCAGACTACATGCTCCAAACCCACCAATCAACGATAGAACGTGTGGATGGGCGAAATGTTTCATGATGATGCCCTCGCGGAGGAATTTCTCGATATGGGCCATATCACGGCAACGATCACCTGAAGGGGTACGGTAAGTATCTTTGATCGTACATTGCCATACAGATTGACGGATTCCTCAGAGAAACCCTGTTAACTTGCCTTGGATTTTGAGAAAATCCCACAATCACCACTTTTTAGGCTTTTTTAGGTTCCTAAAGACCCTTTGCCAGTTATCCATAGATTTTCAAGGCTTCAGATCACACAAGAATCTCTGCTAGCCTGGCATAGGTCCTTTAAAAGCTGGAAATGGTCTCTGCTTGGTTCCCCGCCGAATCCAGTAGCCACCATATTCCCACGAACACTTTTGTGAAGTGGCTGATTCAGGAGGGGACCACGTGCCGTGTGACTGTTCGTTTTTCCGTTTGTTTGCTTGGCGTGTAGCCGGTTTGGCTGTTTATCGGTGAATCAGTCGGTTTGATTGTCTGATTGTCTGTGTCTGTGTGTGTGTTCGTTTATCGATTTTTCAGTAAATTTATCCGATTTTCATTTTTTTTCTATCTGCCTGTATGTTTTTCTAATTGTCTGTCTGTCTGTCTACCACTGCGTCTATCTATCTATCTGTCTAGGGACCAAAATGATGCGCACCCCATCGATCTGGTCTTCTTGTGCTAGTTGAGGGGCCCACTATACCATCCCGTCCCTCCTTTCCCTTCTCTCGATAGACCGGACATGGACCCACAAAACCAGTCATCAACCCCCTCTCTTCTAGACAGACAGACAGACACATACTCAACAGCCCACCCGCTAACCTCAAAACAAGCGCAACTCAAGAAGCCTAATATTGATTTTCATCGATTTAGTAGCGTAATGTTGGCTCCAGCCTTCAATTTATACTAATTTTTGGTAATCTGGACTACAGGCTACGATTTCCACCAGCTAATTCTCTAATTTGGATTACAGGCGATAATCTAAAACAGTAATCTGGCCTCCAAAATATAATCTACAGAGTTTCGTAGCGTAATCGACTGGCAGGGTGCCAGTTAAATCAATTAGTGGCGTAAACTGGACGGTAGAGTATAGACTACAATTTCAACCAGCTAATTGGGTACATCCTAGAAATTGAGACGCCAATTTGGGTTCAGGAACACACCGTATCGTATTTCATTGCGTAATTTATAAAACCATAAACTCCTACCTTTCAATGTCTTTACAGCGACGGGCACAAATCGACCAATCGGATCCCTCATCCTCCCTCGATACACATTCCCGAAATACCCTAAAGAACGGGCTAAATTAAAGGACCCTGGAAGTCTGGGGCAGTAGATCATGGCCTAATGGTTAGTGAGTTGACTGACAATCTCAAGGTCAGGGTTTGAGTCCCGGCCACGGCACGTTTTTTACTTTTTGATTTTAAAGGGGCGGGCAAGCTTGAATTATCGATTTTCTATGAAGTTGGATGCGTCGCGGCACGCACCGCGAAAGCCTTTTCGCCCGGAAATAAAATGTCGTAATAGAATAAGCAATGGAAAGGAAAACGAGTAAGTTGCGTGTTGTAGCGCCGTCAAATTTATGGGACTAGCCATGCCTTCCAAGTCGCTTTAAAGGACCATTGAAGGCTAGAAATCCATACCTTTGCCAATAATGGTCTCCAACACGACAGCTTCTGAAGGGACGAGAATATCATTGATATCATGGCGGATATCGGCTGAGACTTGATGCAATAGAGAGGCTGATGACATTGCAGACACCGTTGACGAGACTGAAAAATCAGAATAAATAAAATTACCGTATTTTTGGGGGTATTTTGACCCAAGTTTGTCCTTTTTTTTGCATTTCCACCTGGCAGAGCCAAACCATGATATTTAAGATATTTTCTGGGCTCCAACCTACAAACTGGCAGCCAAACTACCAACACCAGGTCTAATAAATATAATAAAAATAGATAAAGTATTTTTGGGGGTATTTTGGCAACAATTTCGTAATTTTTGGGGCATTTTCATGTGGCAGAGCCCAATCAAAGATATTTTAAGTTATTTGTGGACTCTAAACTACAAACTGGCACAAAGGCTACAAACACCACTCGTGCTCTACCTGTTTTAATATGCCTTTCAACGGGATAATCGGGATACGGTATAGCGGGCAGAGGTTGTGTCTGCCTCCTCTGCTGTCTATCTCTTCTCTCTGTTCTCTCTCTTCTTTCCCTTCTCTCTCGCGTCAATAATGGATATCTGGATGTAGAAGAAGAGGAAGAGGGGCTTCCTTCAGATCCTTCATCTTCTTCCCATTCCCAAACTGGGTTCACCCATACCAATCGAGAAGAAGAGGTATGGCCCAACATCTGCATGGGAAATCCATTGTTTTTTTAGCCGAATTGGAGGACAATTGAGGTAAAAAACAGTACAATATACAGATTCGCCGTCAGTTGATCGATAGAAAATAGTACAAACTACAAAACTCCAGCCAGCAAATTTCTAAAAATTTTTTAGAAGAAGCAAGGGAGTGCTGTGAAGCTATATATAGTGTTGATGCAAATTGCAGGACAATAAAAGTAAAAACTTACTCAGAAGGGAGTACAAACTACAAACTGACATCCGGCCAACTTGCACAAAAAGTTTTGAAAAATCAGGGCGCAAATCGATAGTTTTCTAAGCTAATTCCGGCCATAAAACTAGAATATCACTAAAAATTATTACAAACTACAAATTGACAATCGGTTGGTGAATACAAAATACTACAAACTACAAACTGCCAGCCAGTCAGCTGATGCATGTAATTTCGAAAGAATCAAGCTTGCTCTCAAGAGATGAAGAACATGTTTGAACAGTTGATGGGCTAGAGAGAGGGTAGAGGCCGGCTAAAAGCCAAGAAGAAGCTCTCAACCCACATATCCAACTTTTCAATCGATTAAACGGATGGCAGTTTAGAGAATGACATAGTAAAAATCTTCAAAAACGAACACTAGAAGTTTTCTGACTTTTTTTTGGCGTCACTAGAGCATTGAGGATGACTAAAATCAACGAATAGGCTCACAATTGGCTCATTCAAAACTTCAATCGATTAAATGCATGTTGGTTTAGAAAAATAGAAGGTTAAAAACCTTAAAAAAAAATGTTTTTACGACTCAGGCGGTCAAAAAAGTGGCTAGCGCTGGTCTCTGGTGACCAGAATTGAGGATTACCTAGAGGATGAGCAGGGAAAAGGACCATTTCAAAGAAAATAAATAGCAAAAAGGAAAGGTAGAGCTGCACCACATGGGTGGAAAAGTCAATAAAAAGGAAGGAGTAGAGCGGGGGAGGGGAATGGAAGGGAATGGCCCAAATAGAGACTGTTTGGGGAAGACTTTGTCAAATACCAGGGGAAGGGGTCTTACTAAAGGACCACGTCTAGATCTAACATTTCGACATTCCGCTTCATCAAAATAAAAATAGACCGTTGGAAGGTGCTAATTGGAGGTAATTTGAATTTTGTATCGATGAAATTTGGTTTTCTGAATTGGCCGTGACGGAAATGCCACTCGAAACCGAGCCAAAAAAAGTACAATCCTCGAAAACTAAAATATTTTTATAAGCCATAAAATGGGGGAAAATGCAATGGAAATGTTTCGCCAGATTCCAGCTTACAGATTTAAGGGGGCTTAAAAACAGATATAAACTCTTTTAAAGGTGTATAGAAGGCACAGATCCGTTGGATCGTAGCGCCTGAAAGGCGATAGGCACCAAACTAACATTTTTCTCAACCGCTTAAAATTTACATATCCTATCCTACTATATATAAAAAAATAGTGTCTGTGTGTGTGTGTATGTGTGTGCATTTGCATGCAACTTCCGTCACCGTGTTCCAGTAGTATCTCAAGAAGGGGGGTAGTTAGGGGTATGTTTTACACCTCATTAGGTGCGTAATGGCCTTGGGGTGACTGCACACTAATAATAGTTTCAAAAATTAACGGTTTTCGACGTTAAAATTAAGTTTTTGTTGAAAAAACGAGAACCCTCTTTGTTAGGAAACAATTAGCATGCGCCGGAAGTTGCGGTAGCCTATATAAGGGAAGAGAGGTAACGTTTCTCATTTTTTGTCATCGAAAATCGCGAGAATTATGCAGAGTGAAGAATATCATGCAATCAGACCGGGCCAGGGTTGAAAAGTCGCGCAGCGGCTTTTCAACCCTGGTTTAAAAGGTTAAAATGGTATAAACACCTTTAAAGCGCACGTTCAGGGAGGGGCCGTGTACTCGTCCCAACGTGTACACCCTATGGACGTAGGGACCGCGCGCACGGCCTGCCCGTGCTGTGACAGGCCATTCCATTCCTTTGCGGCGTGGGGCGCCCCTCGCCCCCTCGGCAGGTTGTAGCTGTGGCTGACTGGTATCCATCCGCGCCTCCCGAGCGGGGGGCCCGGGTTCGACCCCCGGCCGCGGCTAAAATCTTTGCTTTTTTCCAAAAAAAAAGTCCCTGAACGTGCCCTTTAAGAGACCGGTAGCGCTTGACAAGTCATAAAAATAAAACTAAAATATCCGTCGAAATTATAAAACGAGGTAAAAAGTAGTGAAAGTTCGTCACCGGATGTCAGGTTACATATTCAAATGGTTCAAATCCATTTAAAGGGCCATTGAAGGCAATTCAGGCCCGATAAGTAGTAAAAAGCCGGGCTTCTGCCCGCCTGGCTGGGAGATGGTTTCGGCGTGGGGATGGGTCCGTTTGCGTCGGGATTGACGGCAGGCAGGGAGGGGGGGAACTGTTGTCGACGTGGGCAGCGTGTGGATGGATGGATATTTGCAGAAGATGAAGAAGAGAAGAGAGAGGGAACGGGGGATGGACAGCCACTGCAATGGACTGACTGACTGACAAACAGAGAAGAATTCTCTTCTTCAGAACACAGAATAGGGGACAGTGGAAAGAGAGGGGGATGGGCACTCTGCCATCCAGATCACCCTATGGACTGAAGAGAATGAGAGAAATAGAGAAAACGAAGAGGATACAGCCCGAATATCCGTTTGACCGTTGTGAAGGGACGGTTATTTCGGGGGTCCCCTCCCCATGTCCAACCTGACACTCGAAAGGGGGGGTTGTGGCCCCATCCATCCACTTCACATTCGCACGTTTTTCCGCCGCTTTACCTATGGTTTACGAATTCCGATGACACTCCCGAAAATGGGATCCCCGAAAATTGGTTTCCCGAAACTCGGGGCCCGAAAATCGGGGCCCGAAAAATCGGAGTCCCGAAAATCTTAGTCCGGAAAATCTGACTCCCGAAAATCGGAGTCCCGAAAACTCCGACTCCCGAAAATCTAAGTCCCGAAAATACCCGCAGTGATTTGGGGTTTTTTTTTGGGGCCGGAAGCCTAAAAACCAGTAGCCAAATTTTCGGGATTCAGATTTTCGGGAGTCAGATTTTTCGGGACTCAGATTTCGGGTCATTTTCCGGAGTCAGATCTCGGGACTCCGTTTTCGGGCCGAGTTTCGGGGACCTCCGGGGATCCCATTTTCGGAAGTATAAGCAAACCCCATGGTTTACACAAGGGTTCAAGTTCTAAAGGACTCAAGGGCTGACACTTGTTTCTAAAGGGAATGTGAAAGCATGGTTGGGGCGGGAAAGGGCAAACTGGAGCGCAAAACAATAACTAAACCGCTTATTTTTTTAAATCTTTTTAATAATAATAATTTAATTTTAAACTCTGAAAAAACCCTTTTACATCTGACAGCATAAAATTACAGCATGTTTTTATAGCAAATATTGGTCTAAAAATCGGTAAAATAGCGAAAAGGCATGCCCGCTAGTCCATACAAAAGGTATAATTGACTCAAATATTTTATTATCCAAAAATATGTCGCAAAAGTCAAAAGAATGCTTTTACTGGCTGACATTATGACACTGAAATATGTCATTTTAGCAAACATTGATCTAGCAATCGATAAAATAGCTAAATTTAATGCCAGATAGACGACCTAAAAGGGCTGGATTTGCCTATAATACAAGGACTTCAAAAGAAACGACGTCAATTGATGGTGGGGCGGTGTACCGAAGGTGTGGCCCCTCTCCCCCACTCTCTCTGTTTGTTTATCATGAATCTTTTGAAGGGAATGGCAGAAGAAGAAGAAGAAGGAGATGAAAAGGATGCGACTAACATTCCAAGCCAGGGCCAAGCTACGCTCTGACTAACACAAAACACAGAAAAACGTTTATTTTCAGGACGGGCATGTGATTCTATGGATTTTTCCGCAGCGCACACGCCACACGCAACGCTATCATAGCATAGCGTAATCGATTACGACAAATTTACAGCCCACGCGTCGCGGTCAAGCGGCGTACTTGCGTACGTATCACATCTATAGAAATCCATAGCAAAAAAATCCAAAAGTTAAACTTTTCGGCCCCTTTAAAGGGACCTGGAAGTCAATTGAAGTATCGCTTTTCAGGCTGGAATGCATAAATATGAATTCCTCCTCTAAATGGGCGGGTGGCAATTCGAAGAAAAAATGATAGAAATAACGATGGAGGAGGAGGGGGGAAGGAGGAATGAGACTGATCTCGGAGAACGAGAATATGCCCTTTGCCCTGGAGGGGAGGGGGAAAAGGAATTATGCGCTCCAATTGAGACATCGTGATGTCTCATAAATGGGAAATGGATTGACAGGGGGGAGGCAGAGGGGAAAACATTTCGAGACTCCGGTTGTCAGCTTGGAATTTCCGAAATCGAATTTTTTTTTTGATTAAAAACCAAAAATTCGAATCAACCAGCTAACTGGCTTTTCGCCAAAAAAGTCAATTAGCTGTCAGCCAGGCATTTCCGGTAAATATTGGACACCTCGCCCTTCTGCCACTCCTGATAGGGCCTGAGCGAGAAAATTGGATTTGGCCGCCAGCCCCGGGGTTCCAGTAACTCTTTCCAAAAAAGAATGGAATGGGAAACTAACTCCCGAGTAACCAACACTTCTAACAGAAAGAAAAACTAGGACGGGACTTATTTTCGGGAGCCAGATAGCAGCTAACTGGGTTGCATTTTTAAAGCTAAAATAGTTATCTTTTATTCAATGCAAGTTTGGGCCAGAAAATTGGGCTCTGGATGACAGTTAGAAACTAAAATGTGTAATTTTTTAAACTTTCGAGCCGGACATTTTGAAAATGTGGAAAATGAGTGCTAATGAGGCTATCCGCTAGGTTCCTTTACCTAAAAAGGTTTATAAATCGGATATAGGCAATTTTAAAGGTCTACTAACTGACATCTCATCTGCCGAAGGTTAGAAACTAAAATATATTGTTTTGCAAAATTTCGAGCCAAGGATTGTTTAAATGTAAAAATTGGACGGCAGATAGGCTATTTAGCCAGTTTTTTCGTCTAGAAAGGTTTTAAAAATTGATTGTAAGCAATTTTAAACGTGCCGTATACCAGCTAATAGCTAGAAAATAGTCAAAAGGCCCAGTGAAGTGTGGAAGGAAGAAAAAGGAAAGAAATGGATGAGGATGGTTGATTGGAAGGGAAAAGGGGATGGACTGATGGGAAGAAGATAGGGGGGAAGGGCACTTGACTAGAAGGGATGACCTCAGAAGACTGTGTCGAGAGCTTCTTCTCAAGGGAGAGAGAGAGAGAGAGAGAGAGAGAGAGAGAGAGAGAGAGAGAGAGAGACAGAGAGAGACAAACACATTCAATTGGCATCGGAAGAGACGGCGTCAATATGTCACTTCTTCCCTTCACTAACATGCCAATAGAGGGACACTTTCTCTAGTATCCGGCTTCAAGTGACCCAGTTTGAGGTAAGTGGCCACTAGAACGAGTCTGACCAATTTTTCTACCAAGTTGGCACCCGGGTGTTGGCCTCAAAAAGATGTAAAGATAAACACATAAAGATGTTATACAAACTATGTTAGTTTTTGTTTTTCAGACGAAAATCATTTTCTGCTCGGCTGGCTCACAAGGAGATTGTAAAACTTAAAAAGAAATACGCAAACATTTAAAATTGTGATATTTTAGCTTGAGCTGCTGGCTAACAGTCGAAATTTTGTAGATGCCATGACTGTATCCAAAAGATAGTTTTACGGTAAAAACCTAATACACATCACCGATCTGACCTGCGTAAATTACTTAAAAAAGAAATAAGCCTAATTTAGCGTTTCACCAGATAGTTTAGTTTTCAAAAAAGGGCAAGCTTCCGGAAGCCTGAAATTTGAATTTAAAGTATTCCAAACCCAGAAATGAAAATCTCAAGGCAAAAACCAAATTTATCAGCTAACTGAACCACGTAGAGTAAGGTGAAGTAAAAATAAAATCTCGGAACCGCACAGCAAACTATTTTAGTCGCCCTAAAAAATCCGCACGCTTCCGATACACACCACCCTCTAGACACGGACAGGCCGTTGATGGCAAGATCGAGGCGAAGCGGTGAGTAAATAAAGGGGAGAGTGGGTAGAGGGGAGAGAGAGAGAGAGAAGAGAGAGAGAGAGAGAGAGAGAGAGAGAGAGAGAGAGAGAGAGAGAGAGAGAGAGAGAGAGAGAGAGAGAGAGAGAGAGAGAGAGAGAGAGAGAGAGAGAGAGAGAGAGAGAGAGAGAGAGAGAGAGAGAGAGAGAGAGAGAGAGGGAGAGAGAAAGAGTGGAATGGGGGGGGGATGGCTTCTTCCGCATTATGGGCACATTATCCCATTCAGTCGAGAAGGGGGGACGGCCGATGGATGGTATGGGGTGGGTGGCAAAAATGGGAATTGGAAGGGGTATACAGCTTTCACTTCAGATTGTTGACTAGGCGAGGCTAATAATGGGTTGCCAGGTGACCATCCTTTTTTTCTGCATGCCAACACACAGCTTCACAAGGTTTTTGGTAGATTTTCGTATAGTAATTCGGTACTTTTTCCCTAGCGGGGTCCCAGGGTTTTTACCCTTTTACCATGATTTTTAATACCTGCCAAAACACATATTCACAAAGCTTTTGGTATAATTTCGTATCGTAATTTTTGTAATTCGCATGGTTTTGCTAGATTTTCGTATAGGAATTCAGAGCTTTTTCATTATCGGGGGTTCCCAGGGTTTTTGGCTGATTTTCGTATCGGAACTAATATACCGTATATTTTTCTGTCTGCCAAAACACAATTTATCAAGGTTTTTGCTAATTTTCGTTTAGAGATTAGGCACTTTTGCATTATCAGGGGGGATTTTTCTGTTTTGTGCAGAAAAGCCTATAAACACAATACTAATATGTTAATAATTGATCTAACAAAATTTAATTATATTTCAGTGTAAAAACTATCAAAAATTTTCGAGAAATTGTAAATTTGAAATTTGGGCGAAAAAAGTCGTTTTTGGTTGTAAATCGATTTTGTATTTTTCAAACCCCCCCCCCCGTTAATGCCAAAGCACCAGTAAATTAAATTGTTCTACAAACCTGTACTGCATGATGTTGTCCAATGTTCTGGATGTGGATGGGGATGAGGAGAGGGTGAGGATGAACAATGAGCATGAACTAATACTCCGATTACAGCCACGCATAGTACTCCAATCTACAAAAGGATATAGATTGGATGATAGCTAAGAAACTGACGAGAATGAGACCGATGAAGAGGAGGGAATTATCGGGGATGAGCCCGGCTGCAGCGGCTATAGCCGGGAATGGGGATGGAGTCGAGGTGGAGGGGATGATGCCAGGGCTCGACGTCGAGACCTGCAATTAAATCGATATCGTATAATTAAATTATACAAACTGGCAGCCAGTTGAAATTTCGATAGAAATATTTTATCTGATATCCAGGCCGTTCTCTGAAAATCGCGCTAATTCAAAGATCCGGATTTGAAACAGTCAAAAATTAATTATATAAACTTAAAATTACAATTAAACAGTTATTGTTTTATTAAATTATATAATTTGGCGGCCAGTTTAATTCTATATAGGGTTATTTTATCTTATTTCCAAACCCTACGCTAAACGGCGCCAATTAAAAGACCCGTGATTTAAAAAAACCAATTAAATAGCTATATTACAATTTTAATAGTATAAAACAAATCTTTTATTGAAAAAGCTCTAATGGTTGCCAGACAATAGTTAGAGCAAAATTTAGCGCAAAATCTCTCCATACCTGGGTGGGAAAGAGCCAAGCGTACTCGGCTTCATCGACATGATGTCCCAACCGCATTCCTCACATGTCATCTACCGCACGGATTTGGTCGTTCCTGGAAGCAAACTGCTTGGTGAATGCACTAACTGGCAAATAGAGAAGAGTTGAGAACACTGAAAAATCAAAGAAAAATGAAAAACGTCACATTTTAGTCCACGAAATTTGAACGGGTTTTGCTGGCAGACAATTTTAACAGGGCGCAAAAATCGGCATTCCGCTTGGAAAAAAAACAGTTCGACTTGAAATTTATCTTAACTGCCAGGAAATTCAAGTTTTGAAACGGTTTTTGACAATAAAAATTGGCTGCGCAGATATTTTGGTACTATAAAGGGCGCGCAAAGGCGAGTTAAAAACGGTTACAGGCACGTAAAATAAGATTTAAACTTCTAAAATAGCTTAACTGTTTGATCTTACACGTTTTGAAACAGCTTTCGAAAAATAAAACAGCTTTTCGAACAATTTTAGTTTTATTACGGTAACTATAGGCCTAAAAATAGAAATTCTGAATATCGCGGCAGAGCATCTCCTATTAGCATCCCAAAAATTGTCCAGACGGTAGAAACGTGTGAAATGAGACAGCAAGCTGTTCTATAAGTTTCTATAATGTTTGTGTGTCTGTGTTGGGTGGCTAGTTGTGACAGACAGAGCTAGCCGCAAGGGGTTCGTGTGTCGATCCGTTTGCCCCCTCCGTACGCCGCCTTCCCTCCAAACCATGCAAATATCAACACATGCTCCTCATTCGAGTGTTTCCCAAACCAAACTCGCCAGAATTTTTCAAAATTAGCCAAAAATTTTTTGTTGATATGTGGAGCCAAAAATTATGGCTGTCATTAAGAATGGAAAAATCTTGATTTTCCGGAAATCCGGTTTTTAACGGCGTTATAAGCGTTTTAGTAAGATTCAGCTAAAAACCTAAGCTGGCGAGAAGCCTTCTAGATGGTCAAAAATAAAGAAGGAGCTGGTTGCTTTGGTGGGGGTAGTTAGAGAGGGAAGAAGAAGAAGCCCCCTACAGGCCACAACAGCATTCCCCAAATATTGACCGTAATCGAATCGCCGCTAAAAGAGTCGCCGCGGCGACGTGCATCTACCGGATACCCACAGAAGGGGAAGGGGAAAGCACTTGTTAGAAAGAAGAATGAGCACCAGGAATTTGCTAAAAAAGTGGGGCCAAAGCCGAAAAACGGGTTTTCGAAGATTTTCTTTGAGAGGTATAGGCCGCCGTTATAACAGTCAAATTCACGCATTAATGAGGGCGAAAGGTGCAAATCGACAATCGAATAACTTTATCTGATTACCATAGATAATTAATGCACAAAAATAATCAAGAAATCTCCTTAAACCAAAAATTTTAGTTTTTAAAAGCACTTTATCCATGCCAATCGAGCGACCTAGGTATAATTGTAAAACTCGTGCATTCAAAGCTATTTTGACGAAATTAAACAATTGGATATTTTGATCTGGCTACTATAAAGCATTAATTCATAAAAATTATCAAGAATTACCTTCAAACAAAATATTTTAGTTTTCAAAACCACTCGATCTACATCTCTGACTAACTAGGGAAGTGCAAATAAAAAATCCGGCAAACCGCTTAGCAAAAATATGGGTCTGATAGAGTCGGCGACGGGGAATCCGAAACTGCAATCAGAATTTGCAAAACGCTTAATACAAAAAAAGTTATGAGCATTTTAAGTTTTGCACCAGGTTCGCGGCCCGCCCTTATGAGCCCCTCCCAAAGAGGGGTAACCGCCTCTTGAATGGTGTAGTGGCTAACTAGCCTGCCTCTGTGGCGGAGGGTCTCTGGTTCGACTCCCCGGTCATGCAAAACTTTTTGCTTTTTGGTCAAAGGCAACAACTTCACACTTTTTCAAAGCTTCAAAGACCGAAAGGCCGTTCTCTTAATTTTTAAATTCATGAAACCGATTACAAAGTGGTGGCGGGAGTGCAAGTAATTTTGCAGGTAGGGCACTAAAAAAATTCACCTCTGTTTTTTCATAACGTATGCCTACACGCAGTCAATATTATAGAAAATGTTAAAAAATCCAAATTTCGGTCTTTGAAGCTTTGAAAAAGTGTGAAGTTGTTGCCTTTGACCAAAAAGCAAAAAGTTTTGCATGACCGGGGAGTCGAACCAGAGACCCTCCGCCACAGAGGCAGGCTAGTTAGCCACTACACCATTCAATAGGCGGTCACCCCTCTTTGGGAGGGGCTCATAAGGGCGGGCCGCGAACCTGGTGCAAAACTTAAAATGCTCATAACTTTTTTGTATGAAGCGTTTTGCAAATTCTGATTGCAGTTTCGGAATCCCCGTCGCCGACTCTATCAGACCCATATTTTTGCTAAGCGGTTTGCCGGATTTTTTATTTGCACTTCCCTAGTAAGGTGCGAAAAATCCGTTTTTGCCTATTATTAACCGAGAAACTGAAAAACGGGCAGCTCCATATTTTGATCTGAATACCATAAAGTATTAATCTACAAAAATTCTAAACAAATACCTTAAATCCAAATCTTCTAGGTTTCAAAACCACCCGATCCACCCCTATGGCTAACACGGGCTATCGAGCTGTGAGGGTTGGGTAGCCCGGGGAGCATGAGAACATGTTCAGGCGGCTTCGAGCCTGGGGGGGGGGATGCCGTTGGATGATCTGGTAGTGGGGGAAAGGGCCTCATTTACAGATTATCCCCCGAAATCCACCCGTTCCCCCCTGACAGACTGTACCGCCAAAAGCCCATGGTCAGTCGGAGAGTGGCCTTGCGAAGCAAAAGGAGATGGCAAATAGCCGCCGGGGATTTACAAGGTCTGACTAAGGCTTCTAAAGCTTATCTGGAGAGTAGTGAGCACTACTAAAAACTAAAATACTTATTCTAACGTCAAAATCGGAATTTTGATGCAGGAAAGGGTAATTTGCCAGCGAGAAATGGTTTTTTTTTTCAGGTTTATTTGAGGAAAAAATAAAAATATTTTTGCGAGATCTTACTTTCAAAGCATAATATGGCGGGCAGTGAGGACAAGTAAAAACTCACATACTTATTCATACATGAAAATCGCAAGCTTCATAAAACTAAAATATTTTCTGAAGCCCTTTTTTTTGAAAACTTTGCGTACAACGCTATACTTTATCAGCCAGAAGACCAAATCCAGCTGTTAGCTACGCTGCAAAACGGCCATTATGCCGGCTACACCCACCCGAAGGCACCCATTAGAAGACACGCAATTCAGCCGTGGATGATGACTGTCAACTTGGACGGGTTGATATCCCCCTTTAGGCCCCTCGTTTTAGAAGAGGAAAGAGCAGAACCGGATATACCCATAACAGGGATGGAGGGACGGGGGCCATTGTCCACCACCACCCTTGACGAGGGGCAGCAGGGGGGAGGGGGAGGGGGATGTCCACCCATCCGTGGCCCCCCTCCGTATGCAAATCTCCCCGAGGGCATCGGGGGATCGGGGGTTGGGGTGGGATTTTGGCCGATTTCCTGTCAACTGGTCGGCATTCAACAGATTCGGGTGGATATTGGGGGATATGAGACTACATTGAGCGCGAGAGGGCGTGGAATTGGGAGTTTTGGGACGGAACGTTGCAGTTCAATTGAGGAATTTTCGATTTTCTACAGTATTCGGACGGAAAAAACCTGTTAGTTGCGCATTCTGGATACCAAAGAATAGTTTTTCGACAAGATTTTATAAGTTAGAAGCTTCTCGAAGTACTTTAATTTTTTTTGGGCATCAACTTTCTGCCTACCAGAAGACCGGTAATTTCCCCTATTTTGGGTTATATACGGAACGCGGACTAAAAAAAAGCTGTTAGTTATGCATTCTGAATATTTTCGGCACGTTTTTATAAGTTAGAAGCGTTGAGACGGATTTTAGTTTTTTTTTGGGTACTGACCTCGTGACTACCAGAAGTCCGGCAAAACCGTTATATACGGTATTCTGTTTCAAAATGTCAAAAACCCTGTTAGTTAGGCATTCTGTGCACCAAAGAATACTTTTTTGAAAATATTAGACTTCTGAAAAGCTTCTGGAAATATATTAGTTTTTTTGGTAATGACCTTCTGGCTACCAGAAACCTAGTTAAAATGCCCTGATTTAGCAAGCTGACAGCCAACTAGTCCAATCCAAAACCAAGATCGATGAGAACATGGATGCGTCCCGTCTTTTCGGATGGTAAAGGTACCGAAGTGAGGGGGTGGAGAAGGAGACAGAGGGACATTTGTCTTTAGCACAGGATGGGGGGACGGTGGGAAGGCCATAGAAGGTCCCTCCACCCCTCCCCCACCACAACCAAAGCTTCTTCCCAAACACGACCCCCGAATCGAGAAGGAAGACCCCCAGCCCTCCTTCTTCTTCCAAAAAGGGACTGTGTATTGTCTTCTGGCGGACAGGACCACCAAGGGAATGGACAACCCTTTTTAGAGGGGATGGGTCGGAGGAGGACAACTACCCAAATTTCAACATGGTTGAAGGTTTACGGTAGGGAGTTTGTAAAAAAACCTGTGGAAAAGTCTAATTGGAACACAAGAAAGAATATAAAAGAAAGAATATATAAATACAGAAAACATAAAATAAAATTGAGCTGGGAGTTTTGAGTAGGGTCCATGCGGCGGCCAAGCAGCGAAAGTCACCTCCCTCTTTCCAGAGCTCGATTTCAAGCCATGGGGACAAAAAAAAACGTGGATTTTAATAGGTCTAATTGGAGCACATGGATGGCTATAAACTACATAAAACATCAAAAAGAAAGAATACACAGTATTTTAGTCAGCGATGATACAGCCAAAAAGGCAAAACCCGACTCCCTCGTCCCAGGGCTCGATTTCAAGGCATACGGTTCTTGTTAAAAACCTTTTAAAAAGTCTAAGTGGAGCACAAAAAAGTCTAAAAACTACAGAAAACATGAAAACGAAATGATACAAAGTATTTTAGTCGTCCATCATACAGCCAAAAAGGCCAAAAATCCACCGTACGCCTAGCTTTGATTTCTTAGCATACATTCCATCGACTAGGCAACATTTGTACGGCGTAACGTAATGG